TCCATTATGGGACACCATGAAGCACGACGACGTCATGTAAACAAACTACACCAACACCAGCCACAGTGGTTTGATAGGGAATGCGAGACACTGAAACGTACCAAATATGTCCTTCTAGATAGCTTTAGGATTACGAATGATAGTGAACATTGCAGTGAGTATTTAAACGCCAAGAAACGTTTTGAAGAAACTTGTAAAATAAAAAGGTTGATTATGAAATGTCTGTCTCTGAAGAAGTTGTAAAAGCTGCAAAAAGAAAAGATTGTAAATTATTTTGGAAAACAAATAAGGAATATCGCTTTAGACGTGAGTTTGGATCTTCATCCATCACTGCTGATGATTGGTATGTCTACTTCAGAGAACGTTTCAATCCGCAAGTAAAACCAAATCACTCTTTTGAAAAAGTTGTCGCTGATTTCCTAGAAAACCATTCTACTGTAGACTGTGATGACTGTAGAAACTGCGATGAAGTGGTCAGTGGGGAAATATCAGACCGTGAAATAATATATGCTATACAGCATTTGAAAACTGGAAAATCACTGGGACATGACGGGATCCCAACAGAAGCTGTGAAGGAAACCTGTTCTATAAACGTCTTTTTAACCATATTCTTGAGACAGGTCAATTCCCGGAATCATGGAATCTTGGACTTATTGTCCCATTACATAAATCCGGCTCGAAGGAACACGCAGATAACTACAGAGGCATTGCCATGTTAGACATTATTAGTAAAATATTCATATCAATTATTGAATTTGAATCTCGAATAAACTTTTGATAAAAGATAGATGTTGTATATAAATAGTGTGCCATGTGGGGAGTATCTGTAAATACTAACAAAACTAAAGTTGTTGTTTAAGGGGGAAAGATATCTAAACATGAGAAATGGTTCCTCGGTCCAAAAAGACCAGAAGTAGTATCATACTACAAATATCTTGGCTCAACAATTTCATGTCGAAATTTATTTACAAAAGCATGTGAAGTACTTCCAAGGCAAGCAGATAAAGCAATGTATTCAGCGAAGCGGTTTATTAGTAAAGTTAGAAATATACCTGTTGAATCGCTGTTTAGGACAGTGGATGGTAAAATACAGCCAATACTGACGTACGGCTCGGAACTTTGGGGGACCTTACATCGCAACAGTATTGAAAAAATTCATACAAAATTGTGTAAGTTTGTTCTTGCCGTCGGCTACCGGCCACCAATTTTAGCAGAATGCGAAAGGCACCTGATATATATACACTATCAATGTAGGGTTATCACATACTGGATAAGGGGCGGTCGGGTAGCCTAATGGTTAAAGGGTTCGCTCGTCACGCCGAAGACCCGGGTTCGATTCCCGAAATGGGTAAAATGTGTGAAGCCCATTTCTGGTGTCCCCCGCCGTGATATTACTGGACTATTGCTAAAAGCGGCGTAAAATCATACTCACTCACTCACTCACTTATACTGGATACGTTTGCTCAGACAACCAGATATACGATACTCTAGACGATGCTATTACATGCTTAAGCGGCTGATGACTTTGGGGATATAAACTGGGCTTCAGCTGTTAAAGAAACTCTTTTTTCGAATGGATTTGCATACGCGTGGATATACCAGGATGTTGGAAATAAAATAATGTTCTTAACAATGTTTAAACAACGATGTAAAGTTATGTATTGTCAAGGTTGGTCAGCTGATATAAAATGTTCCTTTTCAATGTTTAAGATGGAAATAATACCAGAAATGTATTTAACAACAATTCGATCTTTATCTTTAGGCAGATGTTTAACGAAGTTCAGGTGTGGTATACATACCCTCAATATACAAATATACAGACACTCCAAAGATAATGATGTTTTAGCATCGTTGTGTCCTTTCTGCAAATATTACAAAGAAGATGAATACCATGTTTTATTGATATGTCCAGTATATGAAGATATAAGAATCAAATACCTGCCTAACTATTATTATACGTATACATCACTAAGAAAATTTGTACAGTTAATGAACAGCAAAAATAGCCATATTCATCTCAGACTTGTTGTTTGTGGTTATAAGATATTTGAAAGAAGGATAATACATTGAATGTAAATAAAACGGTGTGCATCTAGTAGTATTCACCTACAATCTAATCAGTATACAAGTGGTGCTCCACGACGAATATTCTTACAACAAAATGTCAATGTACTATTGGCCTCATAGCCACACATACGAAATAAACCTGTCTGTCTGTCTGAAATGAGGGTTGTGGAATTCAATCTTCATAGTAAAGTCATTATCTGGCCCACGCCCCGTAATATATCTTCTGGGTATATTGGATATCAAACGCCGGGTTGTCTCCGGTGACATTCTTCGCCATTCTTCATGCCCAACCTTTTGCAAATTCTGACAATGCTAAGGTTGGTTGCCCAGAACACTCCAAACGTGTTCAGTTGTGACATGTCTGTATATTTGGCTGGTATTGTTGTGACACTTTGCTGCCTTAGACAGTCGACTGCAGCAGGTCTGTGAGTACGTGAGTTGACCGCTTGGCAAATGGGATGACTGCTGGACGTGACAGTTGTTCCACATAAGGTTGGCCGGTCATATTCCCCTGCACAATCTTCAGATCCGGCATGTCGTGGTAGGTGATGCCAGCCTTACCACTTATGCTGCAATCACCGTATCTCTCATGCCATTGGAGATGCCAGCCTTACCACTGATGCTGCAATCACCGTATCTATCATGCCATTGGACTACTGCCGGGCAGTACCTCTCTCCACGCCGTATCCAAACACGTTGTCTATCATCTGTAAAGCGTTAACAGAAATTCGATTCATCAGAAAACATGCTGATTCTCCAATGTCGCTGATGACGACCCGTATGCCACATTTAGACGCATTCCTCTCGAAGGTCGTCTTCATTTGAAACCCGCAGTTTTCAACCTGTTTCGTATCATGGACGTCGAAGTCGGGTTCCTGTGGCAGCCCTGGAGTTGTCGTGGAGTTCCGGCGCAGAGATGAATCTGTTCCTCAAAGCAGGTGTGCTGCCTGGGTGAGGTGAGGTGAAATGGGGTTTAACGTCGCGTCCAAGATTATTGCACTTATATAGCGACGTGCATGTACGTGTGTGTGTTTGTGTTGCTGCTTGTACTAGTCCGGACTGATGCCGATTTATAGTGCTAGCTCACTGAGATACCATGCCGCAGTTTAACATGAATATCTCACTCAGACACAGTATACCGACTCCGAGCCGACCAGTCCTTGTTTTAGCCCCTTAATGCCGAGCGCCAGACAGGGTAACAACAAGTACCATCTTTTAACGTCTTTTGGTATGACGCGGCCGGGGATCGAACCCCGGACCTTCCGCTCTACCACTAGACCACGGAGGCGGTTGTGCTGCCTGGGGGTAGTCTTTCTAGCCATTACCCAATCCACCCTTATCTTAACCCCACCTATTTGCCGACATCGTTCCCTTAGTCGGGATGTCACACTTTTAGATTTGATAAAGTGTCTGGCAACCGCATTCTGTGATTGGTCAAACATACCTTTTGTGCGCATTTTTTCACGTACACTATTGGAGGCATTTTCCTTCGTTGAACCCGATCAGGGAACCGTGTGCACGTGTTTGTGAAGTTTATTGGATCATGCCACTGACCAGGATGGGTCACCGTGGACGAGGATGGTAGTTTACTATCTACGTTTAGTAACTGTGTCTCATGTATAGCTAATTATCCTTGTATATATACCCACTAAGTGAAGTGATATTGCCTGTTTGTAGTCGTAGGATGAGTGAGTGAGTATACCAGCAATACCACGCCGGGGGACACCACAAATGGGTTTCACACATACTACCCATGTATGGAATCGAACCTAGGCCTTCGGCTCGAGGAGCGAACGCTTTTACCACTGGGCTACCCCACCGATACCAGTCGTAGGATAAAGCAGCGTTATGTATTTGGTTCGCATCAGACAGCACTACTCCATCTACATCATTGTAGTTCGCCGAGTATTGCCAAAACAATGGTTGATGGCATGAGCAACGATCCATACTGTCGGGTACATTCGTGCCACCAGATCCACTACAGTAGCCACGGGGCCTATTCTGCTCCAAGATACTCTTGGGGTGAAGCTAGGCAGTGTAATGTTTGGGTTTCATTCCAGTTCACCTCGTCCAAGGCGCCGCAAATCGCTGTGCAGAGTTGTATGTACAGCTTAATAGATCCACTGTACATATCCCTGACGTGTGTCTATCACATATAGTTTTTGGACTTAATATATCAGGTCCAGAAGCCTGGCCAAAATGAGCTAAAAGAGCTGATGTTCTAGTTATGTTTTAACTAGGAGCAAGTCCGTGGTTCAAGACGATTATTATTATATTTGGGCTGTCGTATTCTTAATAATTAGGCTACCCGACTAATTCCAACATTTGGAACCGCCTTACATAGCGAGTAACAAAAAAAGGAAAACTGTCCAATTGGTTACTGTATCTTCACATGTATATTCACTCTATTCAATCACACCCTCGTGCCAGAGCAATAGAAGCACCTAGCTAATTCAAGGATCACATCTCAGGTGACACATCCGCCAATCGACACTTGAAGATCCGGGTTGGAATTGGTCTTAAGCAACCCATGATTGGCGTAAGGGGCAACTGACGGGTTTGAGTGGTCAGGCTCGGTGACTTGGTGCATGTCATATCCCAATTGCGTAGGTGGATGCTCATGATGTCAATCACTGGAATGTCTGGTCCAGACTCGATTATTTTCAGGCCGCTGTCATGTAACTTGAATATTGCGGAGAGCCCGACGTTAAACAACAAACATCACCCAGCCATGCAAAATGTCCCACATCACCTAACATATGTTTAGTTCACCATGTCTTTAATCAAATTTGACTGAAGCTGAAGACTCGGGAGTAACTTTTTTTAAATAAGCAAGTCACGTGTTGACATCATACATAAGGCATGTGAGGTCAGTAATCGTCAATTCTCCATAGACATTAATAACTGAACATTCAGAAAAATTTAAATCAGAATGACATTTTGTTGTTTTAATGCCGCCGACGTTAAAGACATACAACAGAAAATGCAGTCATCTATTGCCTCCGCCCATTGTTCAATCTTAAAGACAATATTTGTAATCAAATGCAACATTGTAAATTAGCAGTTTGTCCACCTGTTTGTGTGAGAGGTTGAATACAAGAGCTACAGTATAACATCTCCATAAAACTTTGTTGCTTAAGAAGACTGAAATGCTAAAACAAAGGTTATATATATTCATCTTCCAAAATGCATGTGGGCATAAAGCTACAACAGTAAGGTACACGGTAGAAATAAGGTACAAAATGCCAGTACGTGGAAGGGGCAACGTCCTATGTTTGACCTAAAAAATATAAATTATATTTTCGAATTATAACGACTTCATATAGTCCTACATCACATTATCCGGTTATTAGTTCTTTCTTTTTTTTTCACTTAGCGAAGTCTAAAACATCACTCGTTCCATACTTTATCATATCGACCCCACGCTAACCCAGTTGGTGATAGGGTAGGCGACATCTTCTGTGGGAGCCAATATTACATAAGAAATAATAAAATATTACGAGAAAATATAGCACTAAAAATGAGATACAGTTCAAAACTATATTCATAATAATAATAAGTGAAGACGAACGGTGCCCCCAATCACAAACACAAACACACACACACACACACACATGCACGATGTAGAGGCTAGACTGCGGAGGTTTCCTGGCCGGGAGGAGCTGTTGGCACTAAAGGTTCTTTTTCAAGCGGTCGACTCTCAGAAGCTGGGACCTGAAGTCAGAACAAAATTTCAACGATACTTGAACTTGACATGATGACATTTACTGACAAAACTTCTTGTTCACCCAAGCACATCAGGGTACTTTATCACAGTTAATGAGATTAACGTCGCATGTTCAGCAAAAATAATGGTATATATGGTGTACTGTGGAAAAAAATGTATTAAACAACAACCTACATGACAACGAAGCTTTGCCTTTCGCATGCTTACAAGCGGGCCAACCTGTTATCGCCGATATCTCTAAATTGGTTCCATGGTTGGTTCGCGCAGCTATCTTAGTGCTTTTAGCTAACAGGCAGCGGCCCAAAAATGTGGTATAAATCTGGAACATATCCGGTTATAGATGCGCATGCATGGCTTCCTTAAATACGAACTGAAATAATGATAGATGTCTACACCTCGAAAGTTTGTTTTGCGTGGTAAAAGCTACAACAAACTACTCTCCTAATGTTTGTTTTGACAGAGCGATTTCACTTCACAATTAAAATTCACGTAGTCCGTTATTTGACTAGAATTCGATACCGAGGACCAATGACTGCTGTGCTATGTGTCATCCAATTGCAACCTACGAGAAATCCAGATAACCACGCGTCTCTAGATACAGAGGAACACAGTCAACGATGTCACTAAAGGGCACAACGGCCGTGTATGCACGTAGGATGTATTTATGATGAGATTATGTGTAACAGCCAATGCCTGTTTAAAGTCAGAATTCGTTAAGAGATTCTAGGCCAACAAATCTTACCTGTTCTCCACTGCTTTGTAATTCGACTGTTTCTTCTGCAAGAGAATAAAGTAAAATATGATGAGGGTGTGCAACATTGTTTTGTTAACAAGCCCTCCTAGCCAGTGAACTTTGGGAACTAATTAATATACTCTTCCCGAGACGGGTGTTTCAGCCGTTGTAACCAAAATATTTAATAGCATTATTTGTACAGAATTTGACAAAGTTCCTTATGTTTGATTGTTTGTGTGTTTTTTTAATCGAGTATGAACCAGACAATCCAGTGATTGACATCATGAGCATCGATCCACGTAATTGGGACACGATGACATGCATCAACCAGGTCAGCGAGTCTGACCACCCGATTCCGTTAGTCGCATCTTACGACAAGCATAGTCGCCTTTTTACGGCAAGCATGGGTTGCTGAAGACCTATTTTAACCCAGTTGCACCGATCTCGTCATGCGTGATTGACGCCATTCCATAGCATACGAGTTAGCCGAACTTAGAAATATGCGAAATACAACACCATGGTACCAATACGTATTACTTGACAATGTTTTCGTAAGAAACGAAAGTTGATTGGGCTGACATGTTCAAAAGAAATTACATCACAACAAAAGAGAGAAAAGGGTTTTTTTAAATACCAAGCAGGATGATATTACACTACACTGGATAACACAAAGTGTCGGTCGATGCCAGACAGTCCAGAGAACAGAATCTCAAGATGATCATCCATTCCAGTACCAGTGATATTCATCCGACATTTTGACCATCCGGTATCCATTTCAGTCGCTTTTTATGTCGCATGATATATATATGGGGAACATTTGGTGGCACAAAATGACCTCGAGATATGATTAGGAAGTCGCTTTGTGTATTATAAAACATATTAAACTTAAGTCGACTTGAACAGACATAGCTTCAGGATAGGATAGTTAAATCGATTAGGATGTGGTTTTTCCTTACTTGATAGTTTGTCTCTGATTTCATCCATTTCATCTGCAGTGTGCGATAGACCAATGTCTGGATGACGGAGGGCTTTCGTTAGCATCTCGAACCAGTCGGTGGGAAACTGTCTCTCCACTGTCTGGAGAAGCTCAGCGGCTCCGTCTTCTCGGCCGTGTCTGTCGATATTCCCACGCAATCGCTCCTGGAAAGACATGAAATCAATCTAACGACAGATACTGGAAGTGTATGTAATTCTCGACCCCAAGTATACATGTATGTCGAAGTTGGACATCACCTTACTTCGTTATCTTCAAATCACTCGCTTATATCTTTAACACAATCTATTAACTCCTCAAACCATCTACTTTTTTTGACATTTTTTTGACATTTTTTTTCCTTTCAAAGGGTTGTACATCAGGTTCAGAGGTTACACAGTAGGTGTAATCAATTGTAGTGAAAATACGTTACATGGATGTACATTTCTTGTGATATAAACATAGCATGCATAACTGAAACACACACACACACACACACACACACAAACACACACACACACACACACACACAAAACACACACACAAAACACACACACACACACACACACACACACACACACATACATACATACATACATACATACATACATACATACATACATACATACATACATACATACATACACATGATATGCCTCAAGAAGAGCATGAAAAGTCATAGTAAGATATAACTAAAGCAATTATGATAGTATTGCTATTTGAGGCGTAACTGATCTATAGCCTTATTGTACAGGGCATGATTATTATTTTAATTTGTGCAGGATTTTTCCCCATTTTCGTTCAAATTGTAATAGACCATTGTTTTTTGTGGCAATGAATTTTTCAATCATCGCTGACTCTTTTAGTATTTTCCTAAAATTATCAAAAATTGGTTTCTCACCCTTAATACTTGATATATATATATATATATATATATATATATATATATCTTTTACTGGATATTATAATATGATTAAGTATAAGTTTATTTTTGTCGAATCCAAAAATAACTGAGTATTTGGTAAGTGAGATCCTAGTATTTATGTCAAGGTTTAAAAAGGTTTCCAGTTTGCTCCAAAAGTGTTTAACATATTCACATTCCCAATATACATGTATAAGGTTTTCGCCATTTAAGTCACAAAAGGAGCAAATATCATTATCAACTAGTTTCATTTTTAATAATTCCTTTTTGGTGTAAATTATTCAATGGATAAACTTAAACAGAAAGTCAATCAATTTAGTATCTTTAGTACATTTTCTGAATTTGAATAAACTTCTTTCCATTGAATATCATTGTCAAAAAGAGATTGCCATTTTCCATTTACTAAGGGTGGTTTTGATATTGTAATTAGTCTATCATAAAAGTACCTAGATCCTTCAACGGGTATAAATATATCCCTCAATTGTGGACTAAGATTTAAGTCATATATTGGTATTTTGATATAATGATTGACAGTGTCTCTCCATTCTTTAGGTATACTAAGTTTAACCTTATTATAATCTAGTATTGTACCCTGTATATCATAACGTTCTTTGAATATTTCAAATGGCAAAAATCCATTCTCATTACATAAGTCCTTAATTGTCATTATACCCTTTTTAAACCAATTTTTAATTATGTAGTTTTCATGTTTAAATTGGTGATTTAGCCATAGGGGCTGTGATAGAATTTCGGAAATCCTTTCTGAATTTGTTGTAAATTTTCTGCCGTAATTTCCTCAAACATTTAAACATCTCTCCAAAAAGGGTTTTTCACACATAAATATTTATCAGCATTGACTCCTAAATGTATCATATCAGAGAAAGAAAAAACTGAGGGATTATCATATGTACTCTTTTTTAAATACTTTCTTAATGTAGATAATTTTTGTGATTTTATAAATATTTTAATGTCCACCATTCTAAGCCCACCATCAGCATAATTTTTTTTTCAGATTTTGCCTTTTAATTTTATCTGGTTTATTATTCCATAAAAAAAAATTAACAAAATTTTATTTAAGTTTGTAATAAAATCTTTTGGGGGGTTTGGCAGTGCCATAAAAATATGGACAAGAGTTGAGAGAGCCAATGACTTGATAACAGTAATTTTACCTATAAGAGTCAAGTTTCTTCTTCTCCAGTTTGCCAATAACCTATTTATTGTTTCAAGTCTTTTTCGTGTATTGATAACCCATAGATCTTGCAAATGGGTGTTGAGAATAATTCCTAACACTTCAAAATTGCCTACATGCAAGTCTAATTTTAAGTCTTCACAAATATTTGTTGAGCTCCCTGCTTTCGACCCGATCCATATGGCTTTTGTTTTATCAATATTTATTTTAAGTCCAGACATTTTGAAGAAACAATCAAGAATATTTATTGCTGCATACAGGCTTTCAGACTCTCCGTTTAAGAATAATTGTGTGTCGTCTGCATACTGACTAATTTGTACCAAACCATCTACTTTGTTTAAGGGACACCTGGTACCATCACATATTTTAAATGATTTTATGCCCTATGGAACTTGTTTCGGCATGTCATCGAGACGTTTTCTGATATCGAGTTAAATTAATGCTCCGTCTGAACAAAGGTCTGATTTTTCACATCTCCAGGGCCTGCATTTCTGGAAATCTACACTACCCCCTCGACCCATTCCCGTGGTTCTCACAGTCGCAAATTACCCGCCCTTTCAATTTGCCAATTTGATTGGCTACGCTACTAGGTCTAACGTACCAATCAGAATGCGAGTTACAAACCAGACTCAAGGTTGGGTTGGCGATATCAACAACACAGCGGCCAGGCCCATTGATTACGATGGAGTTTGCGAGAAATTCAACATAAAAAACTGACTGACACGCAAGAGAAAGCCCTCAATAATCATTTTGATGCCAAGGATGTTTTCATGTCAATTAAAACTGGCGGTGGCTTTGGTTTCTAGGCAATACGAGTTACCTCCCTTTCCCTTCTTTTTCCTCCTCTCGATGTTTTATTGCTCGGTAAAATGTTAATGAAAATCAAGAGCGGGTAATTTGAGATGGCGAGAACCACGGGAATGGATCCAGGGGTTAGTGTGGGTTTGTCGAAATGCTGGCCCTGGAGATATATTTCTCAGTGCTTCACACTTAGTAGTAAGGTAACGAGAGAGAGAATATACCTATGACGAAAATGAAGGAACCTTAAACATCGAGTAAATACCAAACTAATGACACCATGACACAACACGTACTTACATCATTGTACGAGCCAAAGTCTATCCGTAGAAGGAGGGGCTTCGGATCAACACTTTCAATGAAAACAGTTTTTATTTTGTTGTACAGTTGTTTTCCGCGCTTTTCCGCGCTGGGAGCCTCTGCTACTACTGAAATGAGAAGCTTCCGTCATAAAACTGGGACAAAAAAGGACAATGGAAACAAGTGGCCTGGCAGTTAAGTGTTGTGAAATCTTAAGTCATCAAACACCGGAAGTGAGTGAGTGAGTGAGTGAGTGAGTGAGTTTGTTTTGACATAATTGGGGCGAACCGTTATTCGAACCCATACGACTTAGAGAAAAGGGATTTAAAAAAAACATTTATTTTTTTTTTTAACATTTCCTTATATATGAGATAAAGAAATCTAATTCCCATTGTGTTGCTTCACATCATATCCATGTTGCAGGTTCTTAGAAACTTTGATTCTTATATTCATTAAACAATTTTTCATTTATTTTAGGTAACATTTTGATAAAAACGCCATTGACAAATAATGCTAGCCATCTGGCACAGTTCTAGGGTCTTCACCAAGGCGGATCGAGAGATTGTAAGGAAATGGGGGTCGTCATATTTTGAATTTTTTGGGCGGTTAAATTTTGAATAATTAACTACAGAGGGGAGACGGATGTTGGGGGACATTATTTTAATGAGTGAGTGAGTGTTGGTTTTACGCCGTTTTTAGCAATATTCCAGCAATATCACGGCGGGGGACACTAGAAATGGGCTTCACACATTGTACCCACGTCGCTTTAACCACTAGGCTACCCGACCGCCCTTTATATTAATGATTCAAGGTATTATTTTAGGCGTTGTCACGGAGATGATTATCCTCAGTGACAGACATATCCTTCACCTCACATTCACACTAAATATTCCACATCTCACACACCAACCTTTGGATGTTACCACTTTCAACTTGGTCTCTCTTCGTTTTACTGAAATTACAATGGAAGGGTTTCGATTTTCGATTACAATTTCGACATCATACATTCGCTAACTGCTAAAAACCAATCAATTGTATGTTTTAATACCACGATATGGGCGGATAGCTTTGGCATTAGTACAACGATTATGAAGATGTAATTTAGATACTCTAGTGTTGCAATTTATCAAAACTGTTATTCTGAAAAGAATGAGAGACTATCTCAATCTGTTCGTCGGGAACACGTTGTCACAGGGAATTTGAAGCACCAAGCACCTCATAAGTATATCCTGCATTTATACAAAAATGGCTTTCCACATCACGAACTAATTACTCCATCCATCATATATTGCATTCGATTACTTTCCATCACATCAATATTAAGATAAGTTGGGGTACCGATTTTTTCAAAGCATTCTGCTAACATGTTGGGTTCAATTGTCAAAGAAGCATATGACGTCATAGTATTCCAGCGTGACACCATGTGTGTCGTACAGATAGCCGAGCACACGAACAAAGAAAAAACAGCTTTGAATTACAAATCTCCATAAGCATTATGCACTTTCAGACTTGATGGTGTTATTGAATATTTGAAGGTGGAAAATTTAAATTGCAAAATAAATGTCCGGGCATCAAATACCCAATAACACCCACAAATATGAAAGAAAGTCCATATTGTTATCTTCTTGGAATACGAGTATATGCTGACTCATTGAAACGAAAAGAGGGTATTGATCTTTAGAGAAAATACAAGTAAAACAGCTGTTACTATTTTCATGCACACTGTATTCAGTTTACAGGTGTACTCATTTTGCATTAAAAAATAAAAGAAAACGCTCATATATTGCGATCTTTTCAACGTCACTTACGTAGTATGACCAATGCAATGATGACAAGCATAGCGATGCCCAACAGCACCCCCAGTATGATGGGTGCAACCGTGCTTCCTGGTTTTGAGGTGATTACTGGTTTTGGGTTTATTCCTGACACACAAGGCGGGAAGGTCCTGGAGGAGACAGGCATATATTATACCATTCATCATATAGCAACCATTACTAGTGTGAGGCTACCGATTTAACATTAATTGGCAATTGTATAATATATTGTTTAAATATATACTTATCATATCTCACACCATGCATTTCTCTTTTTTCTTTCGATCCTGAGTGGAAACGTGTCTGAAAGAAAGGTTTTCAGCTTCTAAAGTTAATTCATCGGTACATATCTCACATCGCCATGGTCACCTCCCAGATTTGGGTCATGCTCGCATTGCATGCTGGATGACTTACATGAGTCACGTGTCTATCCAAGTCAACTTATTCTCTTTCAAATCGCCACACAGTGGTGACGTTTTGTTATTAATGAGGAATCCATTGTTGTCTTTTGTCTTTGTTGCTTGTCGATTCCCAAGTTGACATAATGTGGTTTCTCATTCTCTCTATAGAGTGTTTTGACTGAGGAATTGGGCATTTTACGTGTGAGATAGGATTAATACATAAATATACATTTATTATACAATTTCCAAATTATTAAACTTTTATTATATGACTTCGGAAGAGAAATTAGAACCTGACAATCGTCGTCCTGCAGGAAGGGCTTGAGGAAGCACTGTATGGATGTCAGTGAAGTTGACCCCTCTTTGTCAGGCCTTCTGCTGACGTTAGGAGGCCAAGAAGTTGTTGCCATTGACGTAAAGAGAGTGGCAGTTTGAGTACCGATGGACAAGGCGTTGGATTTTCTCCCAACGATCCTGGGGTACAAACATCTTGCCCAGGATTGTGTCGAAGAGGGCTTTGATGAACTGGAGAGGTTGTGTGCGAATCGTTTCTAATTTTTTGGTGTTGATGATGATGGTGAAGTGGACGTGTGAAATCGAGGTGTCGAAGAAGAGTGTTCGAATCCTCGTTGGCTTGGATGCAGTCGTACATATAGGTTTCGAAGACCAGGCCTTAAATGTGCACAAACCCATCGGGGGGGGGGGGGGGGGGGGGGGGGCGAGGGCGAAGAAAATCCAAATGGGAGAACTCGCCATTGGTAGTGTTAGCCAAGGAACGCAAACAGGGGAAAATGGCGGTGCTCTGGAATGAAAGGGACGTGTAAGAACGAGTAGAACAAGGCTGATCATGAAGTCGCCGGAATGAAGAATCGTTCATAGTGGAGCAATTGATGTCATGCGAAAGTGTGAAGGTGTCTCTAGGTATAGTTTGTTGAATGTTTTCATATTGAAAATGTGACGAAGTTGAGGGCTGTTTTTCTTTGGAGCCTGAAATATAGGTGCGTAGAAACCTGATCTTATCGGTTGTGTGCCCAGACACTCTACTGCCTTCTTCACAAGCAACGTGATTATGGCGTCTATGAGGGCTAGAAGCTGTTGGAGACCCGTGAAGATGCGGGGTATAATATGTCTTCTGCAACCCATGCTTGCCGAAACAGGCAACTATGTTGTCGTAAGAGGTGACTAACGCCATCGGGTGGTCAGGCTCGCTGACCCCGGAATCCCGGATTCTGCTCTCTGGGCAGACTCTATCCATCAGCACACGGGGTGGACTATAGAATAAAGAATCATAGTTGCCACTTCCTAAGCCATAGCGTCCTGAAAATGTGTTTGCTTTAGTGTCAAGACAACTCCACGTGTAATATTTAACGTCGCCATATACCGGCGACTAAAAGGAGGTATAAACATATACGGCAGCATCTTTCCTTCATATAAACCCGTGAAGATCTTCTGCAACCCATGCTTGTCATTAGAGGCAACTAACGGGATCGGGAGGTCAGGCTCGCTGACTTCCTTGATGAATGTCATCGGTCCCAATTGTGTGGATTGATGCTCATGATGGCAATCACTGGACTGACTGGTCCAGACTCAATTATTTACAGACCGCCGTCATATAGTAGGAATATTGCTGAGTGCGACGTTAAACAACAAACAAACAAAAAGATGCTGTTTGGCTGGATAAAGATGTAGACAATGCTTGTACCTTGTTTGGGGTGTCGTCACGTGGGGTAGAGAATAATCTGTTCGTAAAAAAGTCGAGACACACATAGGTCGTCTAGGATGGTCCAATTTAAAGCAACTGTGCCTTGTCTTCCGCCTACCGGATCAGAGATTATCGAAACTTCTGGAGGCAGAAGAATCCAGTCGTTTCGCTGGCGTAATGAGTCACTTATAGGTAGTGGTTCCCGAATGTGGGAGAATCGGTGTTTCCTTTGGTTCCTGCAAAGGTGACGTTGCGTCCACTTGATTTCCCACCTCATTGACTTTGGTGTCCTCGGGCGTGGCCACGAAAAGAGGCTGACTGTTTATAGCATTTACGGTCTTTTCTCTGGTCTTCCAGTTGATTCAGAGTAAGTCAACAGTGACTTGTAGGGAAGCGTCTCTCTGAACCTCATGTGCAACCTCATGTATGCGCCCTGTGAAAAGAGAGGGTGTATACCATGGCAGTTGGTATAGCCAGTTTTTTTATTGGTCATCCCATGGGCAACGTTGCAAAACACCACATCTACGAAGTGTGGTGATAGATCCCACGTGGAGAGCTAGGAGGTCTACGGTAGCTGTCGTTTTGTCTTGGATGAGGGGCACACCACCTCGGATGCAAGATTTTTCCAAAGTCTGATGAATCCGAGTAGTCACTTCGTGAAACATGATGAGGAGGTGAACGATTCCCTGATTCATAAGATGAATAACGACTCGTAGGTGAACTTCAAAGGAGAGCATCAGTCTTTCGTATGTCCCTGATCCTTGGAGGTGTTCAGAGGTTCGAGGTTCGGAGGTCCGACGTTTCGCGGTGTGCCGAGAGTGGGAGGTTCGTCGGTTCATCTATATTTAGATGTTAGTTTTGTGCGTAAACGGTGAAAGTATGTTACGGAAACATATGGAATGCTCTGTAATGTTTTAATGCTGCTAGACCGATGAGGGCATGGTATAGAAACTTCCAGTAGCTTGATAGACTGTATATTTTGTGGGACAATAGCATTTTCATCTCTTTACCACTTCGTCTCTAACGCATTGAATTGCTTCGAAACCATCTTTCATGTGACGATCGCTCATCATCCCTGATTCCTGCCTCACACATATCGGAAGCCTGACCACTGACGCCGTTGGGTGAATATATCTTATTATCACTGACTTTTGCTATCACCACTGTATTTTTGTATTTGATACTGACCACTGCCATCATTGAATAGTGTGCTACCGCTCTATTGTGTGCTGTCATTGTAATTGCCGTGCAGTAATTAGTATTGATTTGTAAACCTAGATAATTTTATGACACATTTGTTGATTGAATACCACCTGTTGGTTGTTTGTTGGTTCTATTACGTACAGATTCCTGGGTTACCATATTGTTTGAACTTGGTAATCGACACGTAACCAAGGCAAAAACCAATGGATTCCTTATAAATAACAATACGTCACATCTGTGTGGCACTTTGAAAGAGAATGAATTGACTGGGAAAGACATTGATAGGCGCATGTAGGCCAACCAGCATGCAAAGCGCGCATTACCCAGGTTTGGGAGGTGGCCATAGGTATGTACTGGTGAATAACCCTTAGCAGCTGGAAACCTTTATTTAAGACACTCAGGATCGAAAGAGATAAGTGTGAGATAGGATAAGTTTTAAAATTGTATCACGATCGGTCGATCCGGGTTCAAATCGCAATTACCACCGTTGAGTGAAACAGTTGATTTGAAGCCTGACCCACGGCGGTTCTACTATTTATTGAAAAGTATTTTTTCAATCATGGCATGTAGGTTAAATATACAGGTAACCTAGCTCTCTACATACACCGTGTGTTCATCTCCTAAATGCATTTTTTAAAATGGGATTTTGTTGAAATTCCACGTGGTAATAGTAACTTTATCCAGAAAATATTTGCATCAAAATTTGCAATTTGTAATATAAAATGTCAACGCCAGGGAATAATCACTCTCGATTATCTGCCGACACAGGCTACATTTGGTGTAAAAGGCCAAATAGTGTTGAAAATCAACGAATGGATCACTGCAAGTCAATGATAGCATCAGCTATTCACGAAGAGGGTAGGCATATCCTGCTAAGAAAGGTACTTACCCAACTGTTGTAGATACTGGCACACAAGTGAAATCTGTAACGATAAAAGAGAGGTACCAACTGGAAAATTGAAGAAACAGATAAAGGAAAAGAAATGGTAGTCAAATACTATTTGACATGGAACATTAACATCGATTTTTGTTTCTTTACCCCAATATGAGTCGTAATGTACACAATCAAATACAGGATACGATTTTAGCAAATACTATTGTGTATGGAAATATACAGTCGGGCAGGGCAAATGAAAGTATACACTTGAAAAGTTGATTTGACCATTAAAACGTTGTTGAAACTTTACTAGGCTGAAAACAGTCGCCGAAGCCCTGTAACCTTAAAGGGCAAGTTCACATGGAAATTAACCTATTTTTCTTGTACTTTTTCCACATTAAAAGTGTTAACCTAGAAGTGTCATAGACAAAAATATAAAAATATCACAATTAATTAACATATTTTTCGCATTAAAACGATTTATATTTTTCACATTTACCAAGTGTTCTATTTCCACAACAAAAACACCATGGCTTATGCCCCTTGCAATATGACGTCATTGGTGCCAATTGATAAACATTATGACGTCATCATGCTTTGTTAGAGGTGTTCTAGGTGTGTGATTCTAGCGTCTCAGATGCCAGCCAGCATAGTGTTATGCTGAGTCACCACTGCGCCGGAGTGTGTCGTAGGCCATGTTGTTTTACCGCAAACTGGTACTTGATATCTTTTGCGTTGAGAATAGACAGGGACCCAGTTGAATTGGCACCAATTACGTCATAATCTAAGGGGGATAACTCAGGCCTGTTTAGCTCGAAAAACGAAGGCCTCATAACGGCATATCATTTTCACACTATTGTGAGCTTCCTACTTTCACTGTGAAAAAAATGAGTGTATATTTTCAAACACAGATACTAATTAATTCTAAAATTGCGTTTTGTTTAGAAACAGAAAGAAAGTGATTTTTGCGTGTACACTTCCCCTTTAAGGTCCAAAACACAACGGTTATACCCGAATCAATTACATCACCGTCGAATAACCATTTATTGGGTGTTCCATTTAGAGACACCATCAAACATGGCTGTATACTTTCTTTTGCCTGGCAGTTTATATATTGCTTAAGTACTTACCAGGTGTATACAGTAAAACCCGTAAATTAGTAAAATTGATGATAACGAAACTGTCTTGTTGATGCTGGTTCAGTTACATAAGATTCGTAATCGATAAAAGTACATGTCTGGTATGTACCTCATATTAAAATGGAGTTTGATTATATTTACACGTATACAAACAGCTTCCAATATAGTTTACATACTTTCACCTCAATGATATTTAAGACCGCCTCCGTGGTCCAGTGTTAGAGCGTCCGCCCGGAGAGCGGAAGGTCCGGAGTTCGATCCCCGGCCGCGTCATACCAAAAGACGTTAAAAGATGGTACTTGTTGTTACCCTGTCTTGCGCTCGGAATTAAGTGGTTAAAACAAGGACTGGTCGGCTCGGAGTCAGTATACTGTGTGGGGTATTCATGTTAAACTGCGGCACGGTATCTTAGTGAGCTAGCACTATAAATCGGCATCGGTCCGGTCTAGTACAAGCACACATACACACACACACACACACACACACACACACACACACACACACACACACGTGCATGCACGTCGCTATATAAGTGCAATAAACTTGGACGCGACGTTAAACCCCCATTTCACCTCACCTCAATGATATTTAAAATGGGTGGCGCGGGTGGCAATGAACTGATCTTATGCACCACAACTTGTTTTGCAGAGGTGCGTCCCTTAATCGTGGGTTGGAATTCCAGATTTACTCCGATTATGTTCCTTGGTCGCTCAGAACTGTACACGTGCTCATTGTTTTAATAGTAATAAACGATCATTTCGGAGTTCATTTCACATTATTTCCAAATATACAATATGTTACATCTGACCACTTTCTGAAAGGCACGGTCTATTCATAGGAACCGTGTCAATTTACACTTATCAGAGGGGTAAACAAAGTATGTGATCTAAACTGCAGAGTGAGTTAGGTCGCTGACCTTGTATGCGAACGTTCGAATCGTGGGTTGGACTCAAACCAAACGAGTACAGGAATTTGTGATTTACAAAGCGTGAGGTAGTGAGGGAGTTGTATTCCAGTTATATTACTGCGTGTCAGCTTAATGTGGGTGGAAAGCCCGAAGTGACGTTTACCACCTAGAAAGGTGCTGAGAAACCTAAAAACATAATCAGGTCGAAACGGAATTCGAAACCGCAATCAAAGGTTTCTGGCGTACCCATGGAACGCAACAGCAAATTGTGGCGCCATAGACTACCAGGCCACCTGTACTCCCACTTTACAAAGAATAGAACAATTGTTACTATGTTAATCTGACAAGGATGACATAATTGAAATACTATTTAAAGCAGCATTAAACCAATTCATATTCAAATTACGCTTACTTGATGCCAACACTTCGCCTGGTCCGCAGGGCGTTTCCTGGCACACACACAGGGGGGCGTCTTTTAGAAAGCAGTCACATCCTTTAAGGGGATTAGGTCTCCATCCGAGGCTGTTGTCACAACGACACTTATAGTTCTGTGATGGGGACGCGGCTCCGCACTGGAGCTCACCTTTCCCGCAAGGAGTTATTCTTTCGTCACAGTTCGGCTGGGTAAATGCGGTGGAAAGTTTGGCATGGGACTGGAACATCTCTGGAGAACACGGCATGCATGTCACTCGTTTCTCGATTGAGTTGATAGCTGCGTATGTCCCTGAAATTATAACCATTAGGAGCTTATTATTATTATACTCTAGTCCAGATCAAGATATTGATGGTACCATCATCGTCGACACTCCTGTTTGGCAGACAAACATTACATTACTGAACATAATCTCATTAATACAAATTTGTCTTAAATTTATTTTCAACTACATACATATACTGATAAATCATATTACTGAAAAATCTAATAGATACTAGTATATATACAGCTTGCATTACGGTATTGATTATTCATTTATTGCTCAAAATCATTACGCACGAACCATGTATTGATGTTTTCTTTCATAATTTGACTGCTTTTGGCTTTACAATCTGGCCCTCGTTAGGGCCCAGTTCCTTAATTCCTTAAATTTGGGGTGAGGGGGTTAACAGCTCTGCAAGTTTTCAAACCGACAAAATCAACTAAACTAAGCAATAAATCCGATCCTATTTTCACCACGAGATCGTTATCACTGTCAGGTCGACTTGAGAGACGTAGCAGTTAACTTGGCCCGCAAGCTCATACCGCCACTGGTAATGTAAGCTGTAACGCAATAGGTTTCGCCAGGCTTATACTGTTAGGAGTTGTCAAGAAATATATATCATTCGTCATGACACCGTGTTTTTTAAGGATAAGGAATTTAACATTTTCAGAAAAAAACACAAAAAAAATTATTTTATTTTTTTCAAATGATGTTTGTTTGTTTTCATTTTGTGTTTTGGTGGGTTTTTTGTGTGTGTGTTTTTTGTTGTTTTTGTTTCAAAACTTAAGGAATTAAACTTTTTATCCCACGTTGAGTGAGTGAGTGAGTTAATATTTAACGTCACATCGGCAATATTGCAGCCATATCGTGACGAGACAAAATTTGACTATAATAATATATATGTAGACTGTATAAAATTCTGTCGACGAAGGACAGTAAAACAACTAGATTATCACAGACATATGTTTAAAACTAGTACATAACCATAAAATATGACAATTCATAACATTACAATAGATAAAATTGGGCTATATATCACCAGCAACTAAAGTGAGGTCACCATACTGGGGACTTACAGTACCTTTGCTACCTGCATGGATTATCCAACGTTGAGCTTTTTGAACTGGTCCCTAAGCAAATTCAAAGCGAGGCGTTTCCTGTTACGTCACGGTGAGTCATGTGCATAATAATACATGTTGAGAATCGAAAGCGAAAACAGAACTCTGTGGCGCCAAGAAATGGGATTCGACCAGAACTGGCATAAACAGTCCACAATTTCGTAAAACCCCATTTACTGCGGTAAAGGTTCATCCTACCTGCGCTGCAGTTCACTTCAGGTGCACATGTATCTGTAGTTGTATCTGTGTCAGGGTGGTATTGACAGTGGTATTTAGTTCCTGGACTGTCTCTACACTTATCGTTTCCAACAATGTCTTCAGGACACATGGATAAATATGAGCGAATGATGCAGGAAATCAGAATAATCCTGGTTGAATATCCCATCCCGTTATTCTTTCGCTATCCTTTTATGTATCGGGTACATGCTAGCGTCCTCGCGCGACTTGCATCAACCTGCCCACTGCGGACCTGGGAATTCCTGATCTAAAAATAAGTAGATATGCGTAATATGACATACGCGGTACTGAGTACCAACATTAATAATGAATATCCTATTTGTGTGAGATTAAAGAAAAGACAATGAAATAAGTCTGCAGTTTAAAATAACCATTTAGGGATATTTGCATGACAAATACTGGGGATTGCCTAAATGTCGGATCGGGTAATACTAAAATCGGATTACAAAAATAAAACGAAACGTGCGTATCTGGGCAAATGTATATCAAGTGTCCCTGAGTATAGATGGGGGTTGGGGTTGGGGTAGCCTGTGTGTCTGAGTGTCTGTGGATGTGAGTGTTGGTGCCAATCACTTGTGTGTGAAACGGGAAACTTGAAGAAAAATATCCTTACTAATATGAAACGTAAGTGCTTGTCGTTCTGTCGTGTAATAAACTATGATAGGGATACATTTTCAATTAGGTGTGCCAGTCAACAAACGGTGCAAATGGAAATTACAGAGAACTGTTCTGTTCATTATACAACAATATGCAGTTTGAATGTATGATTACGACATTGTTCGGGACAGTTTAGTTTAGCTCAAGGAGTTGAGCTTGAATCAAAATGTATAGCCAACAATAAAAAAAATACGAGAACTTTGACTACAGAGCGAGAGTCCTCGTAGAAGAATCATTTTGTTGATTCTTTGTGTTTCTTTGATGTCTGGGTTAGAAGGTTTAATTAATTAATTAATTAATTAATCAATAGGTCATTTATATTGCGCTACATTGCCACACCATATAAATGCATACTCAAAGCGCTACACTTTTATTACCCAGATCACTGGATTCTCAGCTCCCTAGGGGGTATGCATCCTGTGAGATGCTGAAGGTTAACAGTCACATTAACATCTCATCCTACTGGGTACCCATTCATAGCTTGGTGAACAGAGGCATATTTCGAACAAAGTCACTTGCCTGAGGAGACACCACCTGTGCTTAATGAACTTCAGTGTGTGTCAGGGGTCAGGAGTCACACTGAGGTTTCTCACTGGCGTTAGCATGTGAGGGGCTTTCTTTCAATGATGTACGCGTTGGGGCTTCCTAAGTAACATGTACTCATTCGCGCTAACATAGGTCCAAAGTGAAGTTACTAAACATAAACAATAATAAACATAAACTGAGGAGCAAAAGAAACTATCCCTCTCAGTTCATTTAATCACGTGTTTGATTTTCAATTGAATATATCTCAAGTATTAAATATTTTAAACAATGAACTGTGCCGTCGAATAGAATTGAGCGATGCCGGGTGTTACCGGACAGCTAACTCTTTTTCCCCACTAATATGTGCTGTGTTTCATAACATGAAGGGGGCACGGGTGGCCCAGTCGTGTAAGGCGCCGCGATTCGCGCTGCAGAATTGCGTCCCTTGGGCACGCCAGAAACCTATGATTGTGGGTTCGAATCCCGGTTCGCTCCGATTATGTTTCTAGATTGGTCTGCACCATACCCGTGCTCATGGGTTTCACCGAAGTGGTAAACGTCTGAGACCTGCATCACTTCGCGATTTCCTCCAACATTAAGCTGACAAGCCGTGATATAACTGGAATACTGTTAAAAGCGGCGTGAAACCCAACTCACTCACTCACTCATAACATGAAACAATAATTAATATATACAACGAAACTTTCAATGAGAATCACTCGTTAAGACGAGTAAATGCCGTCCAGCAAACCTATTGCAGATAGATATTTGACATCGTCAACTTTTTGGATTTTGTAGTGTTGTCGGCTCGGCCGAACAGTCGCTTCGGACTATTCCTAGCACTCTTGTCGGGCGATTCCGAAATTCTTGTTGGGCTATTCCTAACACTCTTGTTAGGTTATTCCTAACACTCTTGTCGGGCTATTCCTAACACTCTTTTAGGGCTATTCCTAACACTCTTGTCGGGCTATTCCTAACACTCTTGTCGGGCTATTCCTAACACTCTTTTAGGGCTATTCCTAACACTCTTGTCGGGCTATTCCTAACGCTCTTGTCGGGCTATTCCTAACACTCTTGTCGGGCTATTCCTAACACTCTTGTCGGGCTATTCCTAACACTCTTGTCGGGCTAGTGTCGAGCCGTTCCGAAAAACAGTTGTAGACCTTTATGATTTTTGTTGTGACCGAAGTATCATTGCTCCACCGTGATACCGTTTGTTTTCTTCGTGTTCAGGAAGTAATAAACTCTGACCTCGTTCCTGTTACTTAAATTTGCATAATATAGTCCGTTCCAGTATTTGTAACATGCATGGCGGCACTGTGCGAGTATTTCACATGGCGTCCTGAATAAATGGAATAAATGCATGTATGCTTACAATAGTATTTGTTATAATGGGTTTTGTCACTTGAACCAAATTGAGAGACAATAGGTGTCCCCCTTACAGATAATACTTTCCCACTCCTGGGACTCCTAGGACACAGCGTTATATATACGGGACGGGTCTAGCATGATAGTGGGGTCTTTCACTGATGGTTAAGGTAATCCACAAAGTTTTGAAGCCAGCCAATTTTCTCTGGTGTTACCACTGCCCGCTCCTTCCCTAACTGAAGTGGTATTCTCACAGAAATGTGGGGATGTCGATTTTAGAAACTATAAAACCGATCTGTTCCTGGTCTATTGTTTTTAAATCGATTTACCCTTTCATCCACACCTAGAATGTTTTTGACAGTTGTCAACAGGTCTTCCCAGGTGCGACCATAACCAATTCTTGACATGTTTAGAACCGAGTCGGCCTGACGATTTTCGTCTGTTTCCGACAGGGGCGGTGGGGCCTAGTGGTTAAAGCGTTCGCTCGCCACGCCGAAGACCCGGGTTCGATTCTCCACATGGGTACAATGTGTGAAGCCTATTTCTTGTGTCCCCCGCCGTGATATTGCTGGAATATTGCTAAAAGCGGCGTAAAACCATACTCATTCACTCACGCTGTTTCCGACAAAAGTGTTTGGTGACAACATGTCATTCCATTGTATTTATAGTGTGATGTATCAAACATTGTGGTTTTCGGAACACTGTATATCCTTGATGTGTTTGGAAGCAATAACTGACGAGAGTTATGACGTGATCAAAGTTGATTGGAGATACATTGTACTTTTGGGGGCTCGGGCTGTAAATACATAAAGAATGATAGAAAGATGAACAGATATATTACTGAACACAAAAACAGACAGATATATCGCGCCATATCAGTTGTTACCTTGTGTTTCACCGAATATCGTTTACTGATAACATTTAAGAAATGTTATCACTTTTAATTTGTGATAATGTATTTTTAATGTGATGACAACTTCTGCTGTATTTCACATTAACTATTATTCCGTTATCTATGCACTTGAGTTGAGCCACAGGGTAACACAGATGTAACTCCGTGGCAAGTAGATACCCATGGAGCTAATTATTTTCACATGGACAGTAGTGATAATAACCAATCACTGCTGTTGTTTAAAAATATTATATTCGCGGTAAAATAGGGCCAAAATAGGGCGCTAAACACAACTCACTCACTCACTCATAGCTGAATTCAAGCAACGAATTATCGATATGGATAAACAAGACTAAACAGACCCTACTTATAAATCTCTTCTAAATTGTTTAAAGCTACTTTATGAACAGGCAAGTAAATGTATAGATGCAAGCGTTATCGCGATTTAGCTGTGGTTGTCACGCCTTAATGACGTGCAGTGTATCTGATACATTGATACGTATCTGACACTGATACATTATGTGTATTCGCTATCGTGAGTGCGCCCTGACAAACCGAAAGTAAAACGTGTACGGAGTTTCCTACGAATGTATGTTCTTACAGGTCATCATGGCTAACTTGGTGGTAGCCTACATCCTCTGGCTCTTCGGTGGAGTGTTTGGTCTGCATCACTTTTATCTAAAACGTGATCGCCATGCGTTTGTTTGGTGGGCGACACTGGGTAAGTATTTGCGCTGTTCATGGGACCGTCAGATACTATTCTCGGGTAGGCTCACGGCCGCCATATTGTAATAATAATAATAATAATAATGATATTTAAATAGCGTAAAATGCACATCACTAAGGACATGCTCAATGCGCAAATTCAGCATATGTACATATATACAAAAGAGAGGGGACAGTAAGATAAAGTGTACACATTTTGTTTCTTGTCTACCAAATCTGTCAGTCGTTCACATTTAGTCACAGCTGTGGCTTTCCGATAAGGCACACAAACAGTGATAAATGTATGTTATATGTCGTTCACATGCAGTCTTATCACGAATCATGCAACATGAAAATGAAACAAATTACAACCATACCAGTAAATATGTCAGGTCAAGTTGACATATAACACGCGAGGTCCATGCTAGATGAATAATCTATTGAGTGCACTGATGCATTGAGATGTTCCCGTCAGTACATGAGTATTTGTTATACACTTGAAAAGGGTATGCGGTGAGGGCACCCCACCTACATAAATGTTTACCACATACCATACAGTCTGATTACTGTCTCATTTAACTATTAGTGGTTTATTTTTGTTGATGTAATATTATGTGGTTGTTAATACCCTGTTCTCGTCAGTGAGATTTACTATAGTTTAGGCTCTGCTTATCGTTCAAGTAAACCTCGGATAGATTCATCCTCTATATCTCCAGGGCTAGCATTACGGTAAACCTCACTTACCCCTGGTCCCATCCCTGTGGTTCTCGCAATATTGAATTACCTGCCCTTGATTTCCATTAACATTTGACCGATCAATCAAAAATCGACATGTGAAGAAGAAAATGAGTAAGGGAGGTATTTCGTATTGCCTAGAAACCAAAGCCACCGCCAGTTTGGATGGACACGAAGACATCCTTTCCGTCAAAAAGATTGAGGGCGTTCTTTTGCGTATCAGTCAGTTTTTGAACGTTGAATTTCTCGCTAAGACTATGGTAATCAGTGGGACTGGCCGCCATGGTGATGATATTGCCAACCCAACACTGAGGCTGGTTTGCAACTCGCATTCTGATTGGTACGTTAGACCTAGTAGCATAGCCAATCAAATTGGCTAATGGAAATCAAGGGCGGGTAATTTGAGATTGCGAGAACCAGGGGAATGGGTCCATTGGTTAGTGTAGGTATACCGACGATGGGTTAGACGGAAATCCACATGACATTCGAAATATTTCGATATATTTAAATTTCGAAATTCTCATGAACAATAAGATCGATGACTATCCTGGAAGATTATATATTGTTTCACATCAGACGATCATTCGCTATATTAGAGTTCGGTATATCCGGAATTTACTATAGGTGTATGCAAGGTCTTTTACGTGTAAAATGTACCGAGGGTTTATTGAAAAGCTCTGAGCCTCTGGTCTCTGACCTTTGGAAAATGGACAAACTTGAGGATCGTGCAGTGATCAAGTATTTGCAGAAAAGGGTTTAAAACCAGAATCCATCCATTAAGATACCAGTACAACACTGGGGAAGGATGCCCCTTCCTATGCCACCGTAAAGAGGTGGGCAGATGAGGTTGGCAGGGATTGCCTTGAAGACTGGAAGGCCTGTCACGTCGGCAACACCAGAAAAGATACATATATCCACGATATGGTGATGACGGGTCGGGAAATGACTGTGCGTCATATTGCATTTCCAGTGTAAACTTTAGATATCACCACCACCAAAGAATTCTAAGACTCAGCTAGAAAGGTCCTACATGTTCTGAGATGCTGAGGATGTCATCATGATGGACTTTCTTCCACAAGGCCAGACAATACACGGCATATTATGCTGCACTTTTGAGGCAATTGCGGGATGTAATTGAGACTAAGAGACGTGGGAAACTGAGAAAAGGAGTCCTCTTACAGCAGGACAATACGCCAGTGCACAAATCATGATCCGTCAGGCTTCCACCTGTTCCCAAACATGAAAGTCCTGGCTTGAACCCATTTCGACTCGAACGGTGCCTTCATAGCAGCTGTGGAGAACCTTTAGACAGCCAAGAGAAGGACTTCTGCGAAATTCCGTCCAACATCGTTGGCGAAAGTGTATCAATGTGGAAGAGAATTATGCTGAATGGTTCATATTTGTAATGTCTTTAGGTCAAGTCTTCTTGTGGTGAGGCTCAGCACGTTTAAGTCAACCCTGGTATTTTATATGTAACGTTTGTTACACATTTATAACTCGAATTACGGGTGATTAGAGCTGGCATCGTTACCCCTGACTATTCTTTATATTATACAACGTATTTTATCACATACTGCAAAAATGACCGCCTCCGTGGTCTTGTGGTAGAGCGTCCGCCCGGAGAGCGGAAGGTCCAGGGTTCGATCCCGGGCCGCGTCATACAAAAAGACGTTAAAAGATTGTACTTGTTGTTACCCTGTCTGGCGCTCGGCATTAAGGGGCTTAAACAAGGACTGGTCGGCTCGGAGTCAGTATACTGTGTCTGAGTGGGGTATTCATGTTAAACTGCGCCATGGTATCTCAGTGAGCTAGCACTATAAATCGGCATCAGTCCGGACTAGTACAAGCAGCCACACACACACATACACGTGCATGCACGTCGCTATATAAGTGCAATAATCTTGGACGCGACGTTAAACCCAATTTCACCTCACCTCACCTCACATACTGCAAATAATATTTTATAACACTCCGAAGTTTGACTTCAGTATATGTCCCCATTGTTCATAAGGCCCCAGTGGTCAAACTGGTAGGGAGTTGAGAAAATATTAAAAGATGTGTAAACCATCCATATGAAGAATGCAAATATATAGTCGTATCAAGTCATACCTACTCCATGTTCGATTGGTGACCGATCAGCGTCACTTGCATGCCAGTTTGACACATGGACATGTGTGGTCCGAATCCATATGTCTTGGCGAGAGGTTGTGACGGGTGGGCGGAAACTACAGCGGCGGTCTCTGATGTTTGTTTGTTTGTTTGTTTGTGTGTTTGTTTAATGTTTAACGCAGCTTTATACATAAACTCGGTGGTCTGAAAATAATCGAGCCTGGACCAAACAATCTAGTGACTGGGTTCTTCTGTTGATGTGTCGCCACAAGGATCATATGGTGTTCCTGTAAGCGTTGATCTGACATACTGGGGCGGCGGGGTAGCCTGGTGGTTAAAGTGTTCGCTCGTAACGCCGAAGGTCCGGGTTCGATTCCCCACATGTGTACTTTGTGTGAAGCCCATTTCTGGTGTCCCCCGTCGTGATTTTGCTGAAATATTGCTAAAAGGGGCGTACCCACTCACCTACTTACTAATCTGAAGTACTACGTCAATCTGCGTGCCTATTGAAGAAACTAAGTATAAAATATCAGTCTGTATATATTACCTGTGGTATTGGGGCGGTCGGGTAGCCTAGTGGTTAAAGCGTTCGCTCGTCACGCCGAAGACCCGGGTTCGATTCCCGACGTGGGAATGTGTGATGCCCATTTCTGGTGTCCCCCGCCGTGATATTGCTGGAATATAGCTAAAAGCGGCGTAAAACCATACTCACTCACTCACTCACCTGTGGTATGATTATACAGTTTGTTATTTTCTTTTTATTTCTCTTTCCTTCTATATCAGCGAGCGAGTGAGTATGGTTTTACGCAATATTCCAACAATATCACGGCGGGGGACACCAGAAATGGGCTTCACACATTGTCCCAATGTCGGGAATCGAACCCGGGTCTCCGTCGGGACGAGCCAACGCTTTAACCTCTAGGCTGCCCGACCGCCCCTCATTGATGTTTCTTTGCAATTAAAACTTGCTTTCAAGAATTGCTGGGGATGGTGTGACAACTGTACATGTTTCATATTTTCATTAATGTCCTTCTGCAAGTAGAAAATGCTACGGCTGTCCACGACCGCTGTCATAAGGGGGATATTATTAACATTCAAAATTAATTTTGATTATACATATATATTTTTATTGAAACCTCTACCCTATGGCTTGTCGTTTTATAGTGCTAGCCAGTTTAACATGGATACCCCACCAAGACACAGTATACTAACGCCTTGTCTCACCTCCTTAATTCCGATCGCCAGGCAGCGTAACGAGTGCCATCTTTTACCGCTTATTCATGAACAGTGGCCTCTTCCTACAGGTGGAATATGTGGTCTAGGCTGGATTAGGGATGTGTGGAGGCTTCCCGAGTATGTCCAGGAGTGCAACAGAGATGCTGTATGGAAGAAGCAGTATGGCAGACGACGGCGTGAGCACAACACACCTCCATGGAACATAATCCGAGGTGCCGGCGAGATCGTCATGGGAACTATCTGCTACGGTCTTGTAGCTGCAATACTTCCGGAGATACACACATACTTTGAGAGGGACACTCAGTTCTTGGTTGTCGCTCTGCCGCAGGTCGGGGCTGCAATAGGTGAGTGGACTTGACACTCGTTTGACAATTCAGCTGTCGGTATGTACAGAGCTACCGTTTGATTTTCAGGAGGTACCGAGATTCTTTTTCCTACAAGCATAATCATGGCCTGTTTGCTGATTTTTTATTTGTATATTTGTAGGAAAAGAAATAGTGTTCCCTTTTCATGCAAACAAGTGTTCGTTAGTTTTACTTATTAAGAAAATTAGCACATGTTTATATTGGAAAGATAGTACAGCTTTTGAACCTGAAACAAAAATCCCATACTCCATCACCACGGAAGATCAAAATAGTTTCTCCCTTATTCAAGGATCGAAAGTTCGAAAGCTAGACATATTTCTTACTTACTTTACTTACTTACTTTGGAGATTTAACGTGCGCTTTCCGACTGATGCGTATTTCGCACACGGTTGACATATTTCTCTTATTCCAGCTTTTTATACCCCGCCGGGCCAGAATGGCCGAAGGGGGATTATGTCGTGGCGTAGTCGGTCCGTCTGTCTGTCCGTCCGTCTGTCCGTCCGTCTGTCCGTCCCACAGAAGGTACTAAGCTTGTGGAATCAACTCCTCCTACAGTTTCCAGAGAATATCCCTGACACTCTACACACAAGATGTTGACATGTTGATGATACGCATATCGCAGTCCCGTTTAATTTTGACTAATTTTGACAGAGTTACTGCCCCTGTTTCACGGAGCTTCATTTGCCTAATTGTGAGAGAGGGTACTAAGCTTGTGAAATCAACTCCTCCTACAGATTCCAGAGAATATCCCTGACACTCTAACCACAAGATGTTGACATGTTGATGATACGCATATCGCAGTCCCGTTTCATTTCGACTAATTTTGACAAGAGTTACTGCCCCTGTTTCACGGAGCTTCATTTGCCTAATTGTGAGAGAGGGTACTAAGCTTGTGAAATCAACTCCTCCTACAGTTAAAACCTCATGATCTGTACAGTCTACAAACCTCCATAGACACCAGTTTCTTCTCTTCTTGGTGCTCTGCAACAAGTTCACAACATATCAACAACACAATGCTTATGTTTTGGAGATTTCAACATTGACATTAGTGACAACACACAGAATTCTGATGCTAAACATTTAGACCAGCATCTGTCACAGTACGGTTTTCAACAGCTCATAAAAGGCCCTACAACTGATTATGGAAGTACAATAGACCATGTCTATACTAGAGGAACTCTTCAGGTTGAAGCAGGAACTCTGGAATGTTTCTTCTCAGATCACAAGCCCTTGGTTGTCAGAGTAGTGTAGAACAACTTTGCCTCAGCTAACAACCATTATAAAACAATGTCATTTAGTCTCTGTTGTGAAAATGTCACAATATCTAACTATAGTTAGTTTCCTTGTATAAGGCTTTTGTGGGTGAGCTACATCCTTATGGTATTAGCATTCAGACTGGATTACTCCCAGCAAAATGTTCTGCACAATTTGTTTCAAATGCAGTGCCATCTACTGTTGTTATTTCATAAAATACAAAGAAAATATAAACTCGTTGAAAGAATTCATGCGGGGGATGTTGTGCTCTCAGAGCACTCTTGTTAAGTCTTGTTTTGAAAAAGTACAAAAGCTCAACTTCGCTCTCGTTTTACAGGTTTTTTTTAACTTGGTTGTGATAAACGAAACGCCGAAAACCTCGTTACTGCAGTTTTCGTTTTTAATGTTACAATTTTGAAATTCAGAACTGCAAGAGCCATTTTCGTTACTTTGATTTTTACGACGTGCCTTTAAGATGGAAAGCTTGACTGTCAAAATCATACGGACAGTATGCAGACAGCGCCATGATTAACTAAACCAGTGAAGATCCGGGTTAGAACTGGTCTTCAATAATCCATGCTTGTCGTAAGAGGCGACTAACTGGATCGGGTGGTCAAGGTCGCTAACTTGGTTGATGCATGTCGTCGTATCCCAATTGCGTAGATTGATGCTCTTGGTATCAATCACTATATTGTCTGGGCCACATTCGATTATTTATAGACCGCCGCGATATAGCTGGAATATTGCTGAGTGCGTTGTTGACCTACTATGATATCACTGAAAGTAAAGAACGGAAATATAAAAGAAATTAAAAGTACAAAGCAAATGCGCGAAATGATATATGTTTTTATAGGTATTCATCTTGTCGCCAACATCGGATGTCAGAAAGCATCTCTAGGTTGGATTATTATGGGATCCTGTATACCCTCACCAGTCATTTCCAGCATCCCTTCTGTGTTTCTGGTCACCATCCTTGTGCAGTGGAAGGGCGTTTCATGGAGAACTAAACCTGATCCAAAACGAGGCTTCTCTCGGCGAATCAAAACGTTGACATTCTACGGCACGCTATATTTAGTACTGTGGGGATATGTGGTATATAAAGATGTTCCCATCTCAAAGATAAATGGTGAGAAAATTTCTCCAAGGGTGATCATCCTCAAATTCCTCACATTGACCAGGGACTTCGTGAAGTCGGTCTTCAACTATTTCCGAACCTTTGGTTGGAAAAGACAATGGAGGAAGATGAAGAGGAAGTATAACAGGGTGATAAATGTCTTCAAGGTTTGTCATTTTATAATTTTGACCTTCATGTTGTTAAATATCCATTTTTTAAGAATGCAGTATACAGACTAACATGACTTGCCCCTTAAAAATATACATAATGTACAGTATGTTATTGATAATGTTTCAGTGTGTATGTTTTTCATAATATGTCAGTGTGTATGTTTTTCATAATGTGATGATCCGGGGTTGAATTGGTCTTCAGCAACCCACGCTTGCCGTAAGAGGCGACTAACGGCGGCGTTAAACAACAAACAAACAAATCATAATGTTTCGGTGTGTATTTATTTTCATAACGTTTAAGTGTATATTGTTTTCATGATATTTCAGTGTGTAGGTTTTTCATAAGTTTCAATGTGTAGATTTTCATAATATTTCAGTGTGTAGGTTTTTCATAAGGTTTCAATGTGTAGATTTTCATAATATTTCAGTGTGTAGGTTTTTCATAAGGTTTCAATGTGTAGATATGCATAATATTTCAGTGTGTAGGTTTTTCATAAGGTTTCAGTGTGTAGGTTTTTATAATATTTCATTGTGTAACTGTTTCATTGCGTTTTTATTTTCATATTGTGACAGTATGTATGTTTTATTCTGTGCATCTTACATGAAGGACTTAGGGAAGTGGCTATACAACGTTGTCCGGGCTGCTGATTGGACAAGTAAATGGAAAGACATTGTCAAGATGTTTGTCTTTGTACTAAATTTATTTAAGGTTAGTACTTTTTCAAACTGTTCAGTTTATAAATATGCTTTTGAAACCAAATAATCCATCTAGATAACAAAATGCCTATGTGAGTGGAAGGCTCCACGTAATAATAAACAACACCAATGTCAATAATGTTTTCTCTGAGTGTCTTAAATGGATGACTTGGATAAAGGTCTGTTTCAACTTTATCCAGTGAAAGATTGGACACGTGTCTTGTGATACACGTCTGGATTAAGAATTTATTCTTAATTCGTAATTTTATAATTATGTTGACATCCCAGTTCTAATATCATCAAATTGAAGACAGTATGCAGAATAAGCCGCCCAAGTAATCGCAATAACTGTATTATTATTTGTTTTAATTGTTATGTTCTTCCTTACGTCTTAATTCTAGGACTTTGTGAAGGGGATTTTCAACCTTTTCGAGGATCATGGTTCCAAGAGGGAACGGTCAAAGACATTTTGGCGTGGAGCACAACACCCATTCAAGGTTGGTAAGGGACATCCATTTGATATTCAGGGGGTCGGGAATGTTGTCTATGTGGTGTGTAGAGTATATATATGACACTGACAAACTTTTTTGGCAGTGGGTCTAATGTATATCTAATGCTGTTCAACAACAGTCAAGGTTGGTCATTTTCAAAATGATGTTTTAGATTGAATGAAAAATATTATGCTCAGAGTACACCCAAAAATAATAAACAATGATGTCGCTTTTTGTATTTATTTTAGAAGTCGATCGAGAAAGATACATTTTGTCGTCATTCGACGCAAGCACGGTTTACGGCAAAAGAGTTTGTTTGTTTTTAATCTGGAAACAATAATACCCCCTTCACTATAATCGCTCTGTAGTATACGAATAAATATTCTTCTTAAGTGTAAAATAATGTATTCAGTTTCCAGTGAGTCACAGGGAGAATAAAAAAACATATTGTTAGTCCAGTCCTTCTTTTCATCCTACCCAGTGTGGAGTCCAGGAAGACATATATATGTCCAGTGTCCCATGCTTGTGGTAAGAGCCGTATAAATAGGATCGGGTGGTCATATCGATGACTTGATTTATTGCGTGTCATTGTGTCCTGGTTGTGTGGATCGTGGCTCACTGGATGCCTGGTTCAGACTCGACTATTTACTGTAATTCAGTTGGAATAGTGCTGTCTGCGGCGTTAAACCATATTCACTCACTCAGCCTCTTCGTCCAGGTTTTAGGTTTGGATCCGGGCGCCACACAGAAGGAGATAACCCATGCCTACAGGAAGATGTCGCGTCAGTGGCACCCAGACAAACAGAAAGATCCCCAGAAGAAGGAAGAGGCCCATGAAATGTTTATAGAGATCCAGAATGCTTATGAGAAATTATCACACGCGAGGGCCAAGAGAACTGCCAAAAATAAGCGATATAATTAGTCATCATATACAGCTTTAAATACGTAGGTATTTGGGATTTGTCATCTATAATAGGGGTTGGGGCTAGGCAGGCGAGATTGGTTAGGACTGTATACCATATTATATACCCCCCCCCCCCCCCCCCCCTCACTTTGTGTTGAGTTCCAAAACTTTCACCTATATGTTTTTACAAGTTCAGTGTTCCTTTGCATCTAAGATACAGCTGAAAACAGACGTTTGCGCATTGTCTTTACAAGACTGGGTGCGTTTGTGAAGTGCCGCGAACCGGGAGTAACCCGTGTACGGGAGTTTCCTACGAATGTATATTTATTCATAAAGGTCATCATGACTAACTTGGTGGTAGCCTACATCCTCTGGCTCTTAGGGGATTATTTGGTCTGCATCACTTTTATCTGAAACGTGATCCCCATAAGTTTGTTTGTTGGGCGACACTGGGTAGGTATTTAAGCTGTGCATGGACCAGGCGGGTAGTCTTCTCTGAACGACTTACTGCCACCATATTGTACAGATTGTGTTTATTGCCTACGCGTGGTGATCTGTCAGCCGTTTACATTTAGTCGCAGCTGTGGTTTTGCGATAATACATATAAACAGTGATAAATGTATGTCATATGCGGTTATTGCATGAATAATAACACTTTCAATTTAATTATTTAGGCTGTTGGTAAAACATACGGGAAATACAAACTTAACAGTAAATATGATGGGTCATGATAACATGTGAAATACGAGGTACATGCTGGATGAATGTTTAGTTAACAAGGAATAAATTGCTATTGTTTCCGTCAGTGCATGGTATATGTTATACTACTTGAAAAGGGTTTCGCAACATTAATATGTACCACATACCGTACAGTCGGGTAAGTGTCCGAGGTTATCAAACATGAGTGTAGGGTCTGTGACCTTTGGAAAATTGAGCAACTTTAGGATGGTGCAGTGATCAGTTATCAAGTACTTGCAGAAAAAGCCATCACAGTCATATTCACAGTCGTGGTCTCATTCTGACTAACATTGCCCCGGTTCGGAGCTGCAGTGAGCGAGTGTGTGCAATATGATATTCACAGTCGTGGTCTCATTCTGACTAACATTGCCCCGGTTCGGAGCTGCAGTGAGCGAGTGTGTGCAATATGATATTCACAGTCGTGGTCTCATTCTGACTAACATTGCCCCGGTTCGGAGCTGCAGTGGGCGAGTGTGTGCAATATGATATTCACAGTCGTGGTCTCATTCTGACTAACATTGCCCCGGTTCGGAGCTGCAGTGAGCGAGTGTGTGCAATATGATATTCACAGTCGTGGTCTCATTCTGACTAACATTGCCCCGGTTCGGAGCTGCAGTGAGCGAGTGTGTGCAATATAATATTCACAGTCGTGGTCTCATTCTGACTAACATTGCCCCGGTTCGGAGCTGCAGTGAGCGAGTGTGTGCAATATGATATTCACAGTCGTGGTCTCATTCTGACTAACATTGCCCCGGTTCGGAGCTGCAGTGAGCGAGTGTGTGCAATATGATATTCACAGTCGTGGTCTCATTCTGACTAACATTGCCCCGGTTCGGAGCTGCAGTGAGCGAGTGTGTGCAATATGATATTCACAGTCGTGGTCTCATTCTGACTAACATTGCCCCGGTTCGGAGCTGCAGTGGGAGAGTGTGTGCAATATGATATTCACAGTCGTGGTCTCATTCTGACTAACATTGCCCCGGTTCGGAGCTGCAGTGGGCGAGTGTGTGCAATATGATATTCACAGTCGTGGTCTCATTCTGACTAACATTGCCCCGGTTCGGAGCTGCAGTGGGCGAGTGTGTGCAATATGATATTCACAGTCGTGGTCTCATTCTGACTAACATTGCCCCGGTTCGGAGCTGCAGTGAGCGAGTGTGTGCAATATGATATTCACAGTCGTGGTCTCATTCTGACTAACATTGCCCCGGTTCGGAGCTGCAGTGGGCGAGTGTGTGCAATATGATATTCACAGTCGTGGTCTCATTCTGACTAACATTGCCCCGGTTCGGAGCTGCAGTGGGCGAGTGTGTGCAATATGATATTCACAGCCGTTGTCTTCTTCTGACTGCCATTGGCACAGTGTACAGTGGCATCACCCTTGCTATAACATTGCCACAGATCGGAGCTGCATGTACACCTGGGCTTTAACAGTGCCAATGTTTTTGATAATGCCGAAACTTATCGCTTCAATGCGAGTATGAGGACAGTGAGGCATAATACATTAAAGACGTCCGAGCTTCAGCGTTGCCAATGGAAATAATACTGTCACATCCTGGCGCTTCGGAGTTGAAATAGGTGGCTAGATGAACATTGACGCCCATACGTGAACTTTGATCAGCTGTATGACATTATCACAGTGCCAAGCCCAAATAGGGGAAAATATGGACATTGACGCTCATAAATGTAAGGTTGATCAGCGGTATGACATTATCACAGTGCCAAGCCCAAATAGGGGAAAATATGGACATTGACGCCCATACATGAAAGGTTGATCAGCGTTATGACATTATCACAGTGCCAACTTACTTACTTACTTACTTTGGAGATTTAACGTGCGCTTTCCGACTGATGCGTATTTCGCACACGGGCCCGGCCAGGCCATTTAATGTGTTTCCGAAAGGGGCGAAGGTGGTCTGTGCAACCCAAGAGGGGGGTTTTAGGGGTTGCTTATATAGAATTTGGGAATTTTGAGATTTGGAATAGATGCCGATGGGATTGGGGAGGAGAACTAAGGGAGCTGGGTATGGTGGATGTTTGTTTGTTTATGTGATTTTGATTTGGTGAGTTATTGTGTTTTTAGATGCGTTTTATTAGTTCCGTTTTGATTAAGAATACGCCTAAGGCCTTGAAGTTTTCTAGTTTATTTTGTGGGTTTAGTATTGCTTCTAGAGTTAGAGCCTTGTTTAGATTGAGGGTGGTTTGTAATGCGGTTCGATGTGTTAGGTAGTGTGTGCAGTGGATGAGTGCGTGTTCTGGGGTTTCTGGTTGTTTGCAGTGTGGGCAGTTACCTGTAGTGTGTTTTTTAAATTTTTTTAGGTGGTTATTTAGGTTGGTGTGTCCTGTTTGGAGTTTAGTGATTACTCTGTCGATTTTTTTGGATGGATGGAGAATTTTTGGTTTGGTTAGTGGTTTGCTGAGCACTTTTTTGATTTGGCTATTTGAGTTTAGATATAGGTTATGCCATTTTTTGGTGATTTTTTGCTTGTTTACACTTTTAATTTCTGATTTTGAGATGGGTAAGTTTAAGCTTATTTCTGGGATTTTGAGGGATAGTTTAGCTGCTTTATCGGCGTTTTCATTACCGTATATTCCTACGTGGGCGGGTATCCACAAGAAGGTTATTTGTTTGCCTGCCTTAGTTAGGTCGTTGGAGCTTTTAAGTATTTGATTTATTAATTTAGGTCGGTTTACAGTGCCAAGCCCAAATAGGGGTTTATATGGACATTGACGCCCATACATGAACACTGATCAGCTGTATGACATTATCACAGTGCCAAGCCCAAATAGGGGAAAATATGGACATTGACGCCCATACATTAAAGGTTGATCAGCGTTATGACATTATCACAGTGCCAAGCCCAAATAGGGGTTTATATGGACATTGACGCCCATACATGAACACTGATCAGCTGTATGACATTATCACAGTGCCAAGCCCAAATAGCGGAATACGTTAACCTTATCTCGTGAAAGCCACATCTTCCAAAATATTATCATTGCACACAAAGTGTTTTCACCTGGTTTACGCCCTCGAGAAGCTAAGCGTCCCAAGAAACGGCATAATAAATACATGGACGACAATCAATACATGGATGACAATCAATAGGTCAAGTACGTTTCTCCTTTTGTTTGCGTCCACCTCGTAGCAAACATTGGATGTAACAAAGCATCATTCAAATGGGCTCTGATTGGATCTTATCTGAAAGCACCCATCACTATCTGCTTCCCTGATGCCTGATCTCCCTTTCTGACGGCCATCTTTGTTCAGTGGCGTGGTATGTCGTGGAATACTGAACCAGATCCAAAACGAGGCTTCTGTCTCCGCGTAGGCAAACTGACATTTTACGACATATTGTATCTTGCTCTCTGGGGATGCGTGATATATTACAACGCCTCCGTCACTATGGAAGATGGGGAGGAGATCCCTCTAAGAGAAGGCATTCCAATCTTCATCAGGTCCCCTGCTTGGACTGAAAGCAAGGATTCTTTGGCGAGGCTGTTTAGTTATTTTCGTAACCATGGTTGGAAAAGAATCTGGGAGGATGTTGTAGAGACTTTACATTCTGCCAGGGAACACAATGCTTTCAAGGTTAGTCATTTTCAAACTGATTTTATGTTTAAGATTTTGTGAAAAAAAATTGTGAGTACGCCAGGAACTATTTAGCAAGGACGTAGCTTTTTGTGACAAATCGAATTTTTTTACGAGAAATGTGTATTATTTTCGTCATTCTGTCGACGCATGGTCTTTGTCAAGTCAAGAAGGTTTATATTTACAAATCTGGAACCAATGATACCTCCTTCCCGCTTAATTGCGTTTTGGTATACAAATGAATATTCTTCCCAAGTGTAAAATAATGTATTCAGTTTCCAGTCCTTCTTTTCATGCTACCCAGTGTGGAGTCCGGGAAGACTAATATATGTCCAGTGTCCCATGCTTGGGCTAAGAGCCGTCTAAAGAGGATCGGATGGTCAGATCGATGACTTGTTTTTTGCGTGTCATCGTAACCTGGTGATGTGAATCGTTACTCATGTTTTCAGTCATTGGACGCCTTGATAGGACTCCATCGACCGCTTTCTGCGGTGTTACACAATATTCACTCACTCAGCCTCTTCCTACAGGTCTTAGGTTATGATCCGGGCGCCACACTGGAGGACGTAACCTATGCCTTCAGGAAGAGGTCGCTTCAGTGGACCCACACAAAGAGAAAGATCTCCAAAAGAAGGAAGAAGCTCAAGAACATTTTATGGAGATCCAGAAAACTTACGAGAGACTATCATCAATTAAGGCTCAGAGATCTGTCAAAAGTCAAAGTCAAGCCAACCACTAAAGGGAGAATATTGATACATATTAGCATTGTACATGTAAGTGTGGTGTGAACATCATCACGTAGGTCGTATGCACATTTTGCCAAAATCACAGACTTAGAGAATATTTACGTTTTAATCATCAGAAAAAATCTCAAGTTTGAGAAATCTATGTTTTTGTGTTTTCTTCATATCGTAAATTGGCAAAATGTCATTAATTCTTTTCTTTTTCTTTTAAGATCCATATCAGTGTACATGTGAGCCTTTTCTACGGTTTGAAACAGAATATAAATGTTTTGTTAATTGTTGTGGGCGTTCTACGCGACTCTCATGTTTTTTATTATTCCCCTTTCATCATAATCATCATCATCATCATAACATCACCGCATATTTTCTCTTGTGGGATAGCCTAGTGGTTAAAGCGTTCGCTCGTCACGCCGAAGACCTGGGGTCGATTCCCCACATGGGTACCATATGTGAAGCCCATTTCAGGTGTACCCCGTCCTGATATTGTCTGGATATTGCATAAAGCGGCGTAAGGCCATACTTACTCTTATAGCTAGTGCAGTTAGAAAGGCCTTGGTGACATCCCACCACGTGGGATCTCATTCTATGTGTTCTGTGTTATTGTGCAGTGTTTTGTCAAAAGTAGGAGGCAGCAAAGAAAAGGCGTATATATACTTTCAAAATATCAAATTTTAATACAAGTTACCAAGGGCATGCAGAAAGCTTCTCACATGCAAACCGTATCGGAAAACTGCTGGTAAAGTCAGTTGCAAGTGTCACAGAAGTCAGTCAGTGAGGAGAGTTTACAGTCACATACGCATTATTGGGCTCCAACGCTGGTGTGACCTTAAATAAATCACAGCCATCCATACTTTACCAGGCTTGGATCAAACACAAAACTGTTTGTCAGCGAGGCCAACAGATGTTACTGTTGGTACTATGTACCATGACTAATGTTCCAAATGTCAATTCATATTGCCTGTAAGTCACAGCCATATAACATGAAGACAACACTGAAGAATTAGTGGGCTCCGTGTAGCCGAGACGGACAACGGAAGCACATTAGGTCATGTAACCAGCTCCAAAGTGGAAGTCTTGAATTGGTTGGTTCATTCATTCACCTAATTGTCGTATTTGCAATTATCGAGCCATGGCAATACACACGGCTACGGCACAATTTATGATACATTAAGCCGTCCGAATTTCTACAACCGTTTGTCCAATATTCATATCCAGTTCCTCTCTCTCCATCATAGTTCCAGCCACGTGATCCATCACCTGATTATTGTGAATCAATAATTCTATGATCTGATCAGTTGTCAATCGATGATTCCGTCACCCGATCAGCTGTGAATCAATAATTCCATGATATGATCAGTTGGCAATCGATGATTCCGTCACCCGATCAGCTGTGAATCAATAATTCCATGATATGATCAGTTTGCAATCGATGATTCAATCCACCTGATCAGTTGTGAATCAATAATTCCATGATCTGAACAGTTGTCAATGATTCCATCCGACCACTTGTCAATCGGTGATTCCGCCCATCTGATAGGCTGTCGATCAATGATTTTCCCCTTCTCATAAGTGGCCGATTAATGTTTCCATCCCCATCAGCCACAGCAACGTCCACTGACAGCTACCATCAGCGAATCTGATCATCGGTGAACTTACACATTCTCCTTAACCAATGGGTCTTGTTCCAAATGGGTTTTCCATGTCTTATCTCGTGTGACCAGTGGTCAGACCCGGGCGGACTTCCCCCTGTCTTTGTCTGGGAGGGGGTTACACAGTTCGGACAGCGCTTGGGCATCCCACTTTTGTGACCACGCGGCGTTCGGCTTACCCCCTCCCCTCCGGTTGTAGACGCCCTGCAACAAATCGCCGAACAGCTGAACCACGCCCTCGCCCGTCGCTGCCGAAGTCTCGTAGTACCTGGAACAGAGGAAACCTACGTCACTCGATGATCTCCGTCAGTTTCTGTTTTGAGTGATGGATATCATTACAATGACCTGATATTTGCGACTGATTCGTTGTTCATAAACAATTAGTCCGATTTCAAACCTAAATGCAACGGGGCATGGTTAAACGAGAGCGAAGCAATTCGCCGTGCAGAATTGCGCCCCTTAGCCATCCCAGGATCCGACTGTCGGGCCTCGAATCCCAGAGCCCCACGATTATGACTCCACATCCATGATCGTCTACGATCTACGGTCTGGGCTTCCATCTCTGAATGCCCGAAGGGCGGCGATAAAGCCAACTTACTTACCAAGTACAGATGTACAATGATTGACTTATAATTGTATACCACATGTGGTTAATTCTTAAACACATTCATTTATCGCTGTACTTTATAAACATGTGGAAATAGAACCTGAAGTCATCTCTCGTAGTAGCATCAATCTGAGGTCAATTACGGATGTAACGATCCTCATGGACTCTCGAAATTAGTTCGTCATGCCAAGTTCGATGTTTACAATAACGTTACTTACTACTCGCTTTAGCCAACTACTCGCTATAACCGGCTGTTAGTTTCAGACGACTACTCGTTACATCCATCGACTCGTTTTAACCGACTACTCGTTATATCCAGATATTCCTTTTTGCTTACTACTCTCTATATCCGACTACTGGCTTCAGCCGACTTCGTTATATCCATAGTTGACTGTGTTTGTTACATAATGATTTAAGAACAAACTCATTCAAATATTCTCCATCACATACACCTGTATTCAAGTCTCTGCAGCTGAGTGTTTGTTCCATACAACGGAGACGGCACAATACACGCATATCTTGTTCTATGTTCGTACAATACGACGAGCCTTGAAGACATCGACCGCATATCATATGATTCCAGTGTGTAAGTTTGCAAGGCATCTGATTCCAGTCTGACACGCTTTGGTCAAAGAAAGAGTATTTCTATGTTCAAAATGATAAACTTTTCATGAATCTGTTTTGTATTTGAATGTTTGTTATTTTCGTATTTTAGAGCAAGGCGATACTTTTTAAAAGAAGGAAAAATGCAAGAAATCGAACAAATATTTCCATAATACATCAGTAGGTATACATCATATTTACGAAAAGCAAATCCGCTGTCAAAGAAATATACAAAATATGGCTTTAACAAAAGTGATAACCAATTTCTGTGGTTTTACCATACAATTTTGAGAGTGGGCACATTTGTCAGTCACTAATCCTGCACAGAAGAATACCCTTCACAATCAGGGAACATCACATTTGCTCAAGCTGTCCTTTCATATAATCTGTAACATCTCGAAATACCGTGTCAACCACGCCAATATCAAGTCAATATCGAAACACACAATTCAAATGCGTTCAGTGCAGATTATACAAATGTGTAGATTTCGAAAACTGTTGGTGGCTATTTCCCCGACATCGGGTCTGGGATCTTGCAATTGCAATGCCGCAAATTGTATATGTACAGTGTGGACTTCAGCACGGCGTGTAATGTACACCGTCATATCTCGCACTAAGGGATGTTAATAACGTAACTTCAAAAACAAGTTATTAGAGGGAGGTGGCTGACTTTATATGGTTAATAAAGGGACCGACAATTTGATATACGGGGTAGGGTAGGGTGGGGGTGTTGCAAGGTATAAATACATAAATCAACCCAAAGTTGTTACAAGGCTAAAGCAATATTAGTTGCGTGCCTGTGTATGAGGAATTTCACATCTGATGAACAGGAATAAAATATGCTTCTTATATAGGAAACATATATTTTTTTCATTTTCAGTCTAGGTCGAGACAGTGAGTGTGTGCGTGTGTGCGTGCGCGCGCGTGTCCCTGTGTGCCTGTGTGTGTGTGTGTTTGTCTGTGTCTGTGTGTCTGTCTGTGCGTGCGTGCTCGGCAAAATTCCAGCTCCAGACGGCGGCCTGTAAATAATCGTGTCTAGATCTGACACTCCAGTGAATATTATTTTTAACAACCATCCACGCCATCGGTGTATGACGACAAGCTGTCACCCAAATCACCGAACCTGACCACACGACCCATTAGGTCGCCTGGTACGACCATCATGGGTTGCTGGGGACCTCTTCTAACCGAACTCCGCGCGGAGTTGTGTCAAACGGGGACATTCTATATGTAATTAGGAATCATTAACTGCTAGATTAATAAACATCGAAAAATGTATGTTTATAGACAGAGTGGGTTTTACTTACTTAATAAACATTTGCTTAGCCTAGCCTAGTAACAATTATTGAACACCGCGCGCAGGTGTGGTGTATGGGAACTTACTTCAGAAACTGACCCATGAAAATCTGGCTTGGAATTGGTCTTCAGCAACCCATGCTTGTCGTAAGAAGCGACTAACAGGATCGGGGGGTCAGGCTCCCTGACTTGGTTGATGCATGACATCGTATAACATTTGCGCAGATCGATCTTCATGATGTCAATCACTGGATTATCTGGTCCAGATTATTTAAATAACACCGTCATGTAGCTTGAATATTGCTGATTGTGGTGTTTTATGGGCGGCCATTCGGTCAAAAAATACAAAGTTGAAACAAAGGACAAAAGTACGCAATTAAGGTAAAAAATTATGAATAAAGAACTAAATGTTACTACTAAAGATCAAAATACAAAACAAACAGACGCCGGTTAAACATACAAAGTTGAAATAAATGTCAAAAGTACGCAATGTAAATAGTCAAATGTTACGGAAAGACGTCACAAGAAAAAGAAAGAACAATGTGTACGAAAGAACGTCAGTGAGTTGGAAAGGACGTTGACAATAATAGGACGTCAGTGAGCACGAAAGGACGTTGACAATAAAGAACGCCAGATGGCGCTGCAATTTGTAAAACATTCCGAGTTTAATCGGCTTGTTCCGCCGTGTATATGATTACTGCATGCCGAGGTGCACAATGTATTACGTCTTTCCTCGTGCACTCACCACCTGACGTCACACACACACACACACACACACACACACACACACACACACACACACATACACACACACATATATATATATATATATATATATATATATATATATATATATATATAATAAAATAATAAAGTCCCCGTTAGTCCATCATCTTCTTTATATCAGTTTCATACATAGTACTTTCTGTCTCATGACAGTTCTTCAGTGCAACTGACAATGACATATAATGACGTCATAATTATGATGACGTTATAAATTACAACTGTGACGTCATAATGTATTTACACACTCCAGCGACATTCAACTGTCTCCCTACAATTGTTAAATTACTTGGTGTCGTCGCTGGAGTGTGTAAATACATTATGACGTCACAGTTGTAATTTATAACGTCATCATAAGTATGACGTCATTATATGTCATTGTCAGTTGCACTGAAGAGCTGTCATGAGACAGCGAAAGTACTATGTATGAAACTGATATAAAGAAGATGATGGACTAACGTGGACTTTATTATTTTATTATATATTACATGTACACCGAGTGAACATTTTCCTCATTTTTGTATATATATATATATAATGTATGTATTTATAATGTATAATGTACACATTGTGTATAAAAATGTTGCGTTAAGCTTTGTCACCGCTAAAGGGCCTTTTTCATAAATACAGTATACTGTGTAATCCAACATCTGCCTAACATTAGTACATGTATTTTGTATACAACCTTAAAAAAACAGTCACTTAACGCTAAACTAGGATTCATCACTTCGCTAAACACTTATGTAAACGTTGAGGAAGTGGATATATATCCGTGCAAGTTTCATGTCAATATACATAGCTTACATGTGTCAGCGCTTTGTCATTGATGTAGATTGCATGTAACTTTCTGCACTGGAAACAAGCACGCGTTCTTCAATCTTATTTGAAATAAAGATTTCTCATTTTAAATCTGTTTGAGATTGCTTTCAAGTCAAGGATCATGAACCTTAATGGAGTACAGAAATCGATCATTGACAATCAAATTTATAAATGTCATGTTGTCAATGGTTCCAGGATCACATTATAACTATGTCGATTGCATCTAATGCACGGATTCCTTTGTCATTGTAGGTGATTAAAACCTCAAGGAATAATACGAAGTATCACGAACTTTTCGACTTGCTGACTGACATTTACTTTATGGATGTAAAACAACCCTTAAGCAACGCGTAATTTCACCCACGTTGTACAATCTTTTTCATATACAGACATTCACAAACCGACGTACATCACGGTGTCGATTAGCAGCCATGATCTTTAGCAAACAGTCCGAAGCCTGACAGTTATATTATTGACAACGTGGATGGAGCGGTTTTGAAGAAAAGAACGAAAACACTAACACCTTTTTTAATGTTATGAATAGCATTGGGATTGGTAACATGGACTATAACGGTGTTATGGCATATGAGTGAGTGAGTGAGTGAGTGAGTTGGGTTTAACGGCGCTTTTAACAGTATTCCAGTTACATCACGGCGTGTCAGCTTAATATGGGTGGAAAGCCTGAAGTGATGCAGGTCTCAGACGTTTACCACTTGGGTGAAACCCATGAGCACGGGTAGGGTGCTGACAAACCTAGAAACATAATCGGGGCGAACCGGGAATCGAGTCCACAATCATAGGTTTCTGGCGTGTCCAAGGGACGCAACTCTGCACAGCGAATTGCGGCGCCTTTGACGACTGGGCCGCCTGTGCCCCCTTTGTCATATGCCCTCAAATATGCCCTCACAATGAAATCCAATCTTCTCTTTTTGTCAAGGAAATCATTGACAATCTTCTCCCTTTACTGTGCCTGAGTTAATTTATAAATTATCAATGAGTGTCTGTTTGTTGTTGAACGCCAAATATAGATAATCAAGTGATTGATATCATGAGCAACGTCCCACTCCGTCGGGGCACGGTGACACGCAAGTCACCGATCTATTTCGGGACCCACCAGTGTTAGAAACAGGATATTTTTTCGGTTAAGGATTCAAAACACCAGGAATATTTTCTCTATAGAGGAGTTACCGTGCATGTTTTTTGTCACGGCGTCTAGCATGCCCAGGCTCATTCAGTATATCCAATGGTCAGTCAGTCAGTAAATCACGGGTATCAATGAATCTAGAAAACTATACTGGATTAAAAGGAATTAAATCATCGATATGAGGCTGATGAACGCCACTGACTACAAATACCTTAATCAATAATTCAACCTGACCCTTTTCCCTTGTCGTTTATGACTTTTAAAAAACATCTTCAAAGCAAAACCGAAAAACACCCCAGAAGTCTTTCATCCTCCTACTGTCCCTCGCCACCTCCGTGTTCGCTGTATTTAGGGTCTCCCACGCGTGCCCTTCAGAATGTATTTTATGACCAGTGGCTGCAACAATATCTTTGTGTGTCATGTTTCTTACACTTTATGCTTAGCGCAACATTTCTTTCTTGATTCTTTACGTACTTTCGTTCTCCATATCAGCTTGAATCGATCGAAATACAAACAGAAATAGAATTGTGTATCTCAATGGAGTTTTATAAATTGTATTTGGCAGGATGTCGTCTTGATCGGCTTGTGAAGAGGCATCGTATCACAGTATCTGATTTTAATGAGAATGAAATAAATAATCTAATGTTCATTGGAGGATTGCACGATTTTTAACTAAATGTTTTCCAATCGCAAAATACTACATTTAATGCATTTCATCAATCATCATTTATAAAATTGCTTTACTTTGGTATGTTTTTTTGTATGGTTTTCTTATTTTTCTAATCCATCAAAGATGATGCGGTCAGTCACATGAACAAATAATGTAATATTTGACTTTCATTGTCTCATTGTGGCTTGTGGTCAGGTCGGTCGAATTCGCAAACCGAAAATATAACAAGTGTTGCCGTGTTACCTCATTTTGTACTGGGAAGCCCACTTTTTGCCTTCAGCCGCCGACACACTTCGCTTCTGCTTCAAATCTGTCTGTGAAAAAGTAACATGAACGTAGATATACACTCAATAAGCTCAGGAACTTGCTACGTCAGGAAATTTAATTGGTCTGGGGTTTTCAGTCTTGAGGCAGATACATAAATTGTTCCTGAAAAGAGTCCTCATAATATTTCAGTTCTTTCAACTGACCCTTTCATTTGAGGCATCTACAGTCCCCCCTCACAATTACTGGACGTTTTACGTTAAAGCAATAACGGCTATGTCTTTAGGCATCGAATATATAATTTAAGTAGATTAATAAAAAAAAACAAGAATTTGTAGAAATATAATAATCTATAAATACTTAAAACTATATTTGCGTTAAATTAAGGTACATCTTGCAGTTGGATCGCTAAATCACTTGTAACTGTCAAAGTATTATAAATAACAACGAGTAAAGATTTCTAATGATATTTTTAGTTGTTGGAGTTTTCTTTTAAATCCGTTTTATACATAATCTCTTCACAACCGACGGTTGGGATGGGATGAATTCTCCTGACAACCACGCTGATGGTACTGCTTTCTCAACCATTGTCGGTAGGCATTTAGAGATAATGATATATAAACTGATAGGTTACAAAATGCGGTTACTACAATATTCAAAGTATTTACGACAATACCTGTTGGGCAGAAACCACTACAGAGAGTGCATTTCAAGGGTAAGGCTTGAAATTTGAAGGTTTTTTTTAGTAAATCTGTAGCGGAGCGTTGTGCATTTAAATCTCATTCTCAACACCATGGGGAGTGGTATCCAAGTCAGCTGCATGGTATGCGTCTGAATGGCTTGCATATATAACCCCATTGTACTGGGTACTTATGTATAAGGACGACATAGATACACAAGGACCACATATCACACAACGACCGGGTTAAACCACATACCACCACAATGGCCACCTACGTTAAGCACAGATTCGGGTGTTACCTTGTTGGCTACGATGACGATTTCGGGCGTGCCCGAGGAATATTTTTTAACTTCTCTCATCCATGAGTCGAGGGTCTCGAACGTTGCCACATTTGTGACGTCATAGGCCAAGAATATGGCATCTGTTCCTCCGTACAGCTCGTTCCGAACATCCATGTACTCCGTACTGCCGGACAAATCCCACAGGTGAACCCGGACTGTGGGAGACATGAATGAATATCAGTACTAAGAGAAGTAGATATCAACGTGTATACATAGGGAATGGCAGTGAGTGAGTGAGTTGGTTTGAACGCCACTTTGAACAGTATTCCAGTTACATCACGGCGTGTCAGCTTTATGTGGAAGGGAAGCCCAAAGTCATGCAGGCCTCAGGCGTTAACAACTTTGGTGAAAGTACCGTGAAACCCACGAGCACGGGTAGGTTGGTTGGTTGGTTTGTTATATAACGCCGCACTCAGCAATATTCCCGCTATATGACGGCGGTCTGTAAATAATCGAGTCTGGAACAGACAATCCGGAGATTGATATCATGCGCATCGATCCACGCAATTGGGATCGATGACATGCATCAACCAAGTCAGCGTGCCTGACCACCCGATCCCGTTAGTCGCCTCTTACGACAAGCATAGTCACCTGTTACAGCAAGCATGGGTTGCTACATCTTCCCGAGGCAAGAGAGTTAACTGACTTTAAAAGTCCAGTTTCCACCCTTGCCGAACTAGGCTGGAATTACTGGGCTCGATCGTAGCGCCACCAGTGGCTATTACCATTTATGTCCCTTCAAAGCCTCTCTTATGGACCAATCAGATTCCACTTCTCGTATCACTTGCATTTACTTCACACGAAATGGTGGCGCCCGGTCAGGACGATCATATCGATAATCAGGATCTATATTGTGATAAAACGGGTCTTACATCGCGAAATGCATCAAATCACGTTTTTGTTTTGATTAAAAACATGAAAAGATTTGGAAAATATCTGCTGACAATGAGTTGGCGGTGCACATGTTTTGCAAAGCCTGCAATCGATCGAAACCTGCACGACAGTTTACGAACCAGATTTCGATTTCGGTGCGCGATTTTGATTGGACTATAGACTCGTTAGTCCAGCCAAAATGTAACTCCATAATACCAGCCTAGTTCGGCAAGGGTAGAAACTGGACTTTTATAGTCAGTAAACTCTCTTGCCTCTGGAAGATGAGGTTGCTAAAAACCTATTCTACCTATCCTAAAGACCTATTCTACCCCCTCGATGCTCATGATGTCAGTCACTGGATTGTCTGTTCCAGACTCGATTATTTACAGACCGCCGTTATATAGCTGGAATATTGCTGAGTGTGGCGTTAAACAACAAACAAACAAACATTGTTGCAATGTATATCCAATATACCACAAATATCACATCGAGAAGAGATCGGAGCGATCCTTCAAATGTAAGATCATCGGCCCATTACACTCGGACGCCGCCGAGTGAGTTGGTGTTGCTGTAAACGAGTTCGTGCCCAATCACAAAGTACACAAAGAATAGGCTTGGCACAAAATTATACAAAAACATATTCCCAGACTGTTACGGGAAATGCCGATTACTTACGATCAATCCCTTCTACTTCGTGTATCTTAAATCCATAGTCTACCCCAACAGTCGGCTGGTACCCGGTGTTGAACTTGCAAGAAAGGCCAAAACGTAAAGATTAATTAATCCACATTCATTATGAAACATTGGCTTGTAGTTATTAGAATACATATTACCTGTAAGACCCACGAAATATATACAAGAAGAAGATATGTACACTCAAACAACGTTGTGTCGAAGTTGAAGTTACCTACATAAATATTTCGAGCTATCCGAGGTCCGACACAACCGAAAAAACACTTGGCATACATTTAGACGGTCATGAAGAAAGAAGACATGACATGAAGACATGAAACATATGCGACAAACAAGCGAGAAATTAAAATAAATGTCAAACATTACTTTTATTAAGGATCATTATTGGCAATTATGAATGTTGAAAAATAAACATATCACATACGTGTACTATTAAAAGTATTAAATACATTACATACACATAATACAATAAAACAGCTCACAGCGTTACAGTTAGGTCTTGTTAACTGAACTATGATGACCGAGATCGTCTTATCAGAGTAGATGATTTTGCTGGCAGTACATACTGAGAAGTAATAACTTCAAGACAACCGTAACTTCGACACGTCCGAATCCACACAACAGAGGTTAAATAATGATGAAGAAAGAAGGAATACACTGGAATCAAGCTTTTTGGCATCGATGCATCGACACACCTCAGTTCGACACAACGGTTTTTGAGTGTATATACTTCTATAGCAGATTGACTGTGAGTGGGTATGGTTTGCCGTCGCTCTTAGCAGTATTCCAGCAAACATCACTGCGGTGGACATCAGAAATAGTTTCATAAATTATACGCCATCTTCCCGAGGTAAGGGTGCCCAGTAGCCTTTAGCAAAGACTATAGGACATTCTTGCAGCGGGAAGAGGATTGTATACACATGCATGCGGAGAATCGAACTCGGGCCTTCGGCGCGACGAGCGAACGCTTTAACCTCCAGACTACCCTAGCATTTGACATGACATGGTGTTGTGTTTTGTGGTGTCTCATGTGGTTGTGTACGATATGACATGGCGTGTGGTATGTCATATGGTTGTATATAATATGACGTGCTATAATATGGTGTAGCATGTGGTTGTGTACGATATGACATGGCGTGTGGTATGTCATATGGTTGTATATAATATGACATGCTATAGTATGGTGTATCATGTGGTTGTGTACGATATGACATGACGTGTGGTATGTCATATGGTTGTATATAATATGACATGCTATAGTATGGTGTATCATGTGGTTGTGTACGATATGACATGGCGTGTGGTATGTCATATGGTTGTATATAATATGGCATGCTATAGTATGGTGTATCATGTAGTTGTGTACGATATGACATGGCGTGTGGTATGTCATATGGTTGTATATAATATGACATGCTATAGTATGGTGTATCATTTGGTCTTGTACGATATGACATGACGTGTGGTATGTCATATGGTTGTATATAATATGACATGCTATAGTATGGTGTATCATGTGGTTGTGTACGATATGACATGACGTGTGGTATGTCATATGGTTGTATATAATATGACATGCTATAGTATGATGTATCGTGTGGTTGTATGTGGTATATCATGGTGTTGTGTGGTATGCCATGGTGTTTTGTGGTATGAATTGGTGTCATGTTGTATCTATGACATGGTGGCGTTTGGTTTCTAAGGATGTTCATCTACGCGGTACAAAAACATACAAGTTGAAATGTCCTTTCCTCAGTAAGTCATCAATAATACATTAACGATAACAATTACTACCCAGGGCCACAATGCACATGTAAAATAAACATTGTACCTTTACTCGTAAAGTGAACAATGGCGCCATGAACGGTTATTAAGATCTGTGATTACATTCTCATAAAATAATCTATTCTAAATCAATAAAGCTATAAACATACCAAAACTACCATGTAAGGTCTATAAAATACATGTTCATGATCAACTCAAATTTAGGCTCAAATATTATATCTATACTAAGTTATACTATCTATGTTTACAAAAGTAATATGTATCTACAACGTATCAGGGCTAACGTTAATCTTTATGTACTACAAAATAATATTCATTCTTATTCAGCTACAATTGTATCATTATTTCACTGACATCACTAATAAGTACATATGTTGTTTTACAAAACATGATGTTGTTTATACATAATCTAGGATCTGAATATTGTCTATATCTCAATACTGAAACACACGACAAAAGGGCATTGTCTATCCCTTTGTTGTGCATTTTATCTCTACAATCATCATAAGCAGGTGTGAATGTGTCACTATATGATACACAGTGTAACTAATAAATCATACCTAAGACATACAAGATAAGACAACCACTGTTATAAGCGTTACAATGACAGACATTGACTAAGTAAGACGTTCACACACCTGAAAGTATGAGTTCCGTAAAATGCCAAATTACATGTGAAAGGTAACCATGGAACGATCAATCCAAACGCTTATTAATCCCAAACCGAGGCGTAGTGTACATGTACACAAACGTCCGAACTGGTAGTCAATAGCACTAGTGTCGTGTGCACAAAGGGAATTCAAATGTGACGTGTTTAGATCACGTGTTACATTAGGTCTATCAGTCTTTGAGTATCGCTTGATGGCTACCTTTAAGAGTGATTGTGCTTAATACACTCCATGACAGTAGAAACGTTATGAACCATACCAGAAATCCCATCAGACCGCCTCAGATAACGTGACAATATGTACTGACCAACTAGCACAAGGTTAGGTTTGTTAATACTGACACCTGCGTATAGCCTGAGTTACCCTGTTTCCCCTCGCTAGGTTCCCCGTCCTTCTAACCCTGATCTGCCCCTTAGATTACCTGGTCATCCTGGCTCTCTGTTGCTATGGCTGCCTGTCAAATATTTACACAATTGTTAGTTCCGTTATAAAAACTAGGAATTTACATTACAATCACCTTATAAGAAATGATTGCTAGCCGGAGCGGTCACACGAGGTACTGAGTTCTATATCTGTAACTATGATATTAAATTAAATTAAATATATCGACTTTATTAGGTACAAGAAATTTACTAAATGTGTACCTGTGCGTTTCTTTTTTTTAAGAGTGTATATCTGAAGTTGATTCTTTAGTACTATAAAAGCTTCTACAAACTAATTGTGTTCACAAAGGAAGAAAACCTCAGTACCTTTAAAAAAACACATTAAGATAGCGTGCAATTCGTTTTCCTTGTACGTAGAGTGAGTGATGTTTTATCACGATTTCTATATCTTGGTTCTGGGTTTTAAAACCTGACTTTTGAAAAAAAGTAATTTGAAAATTGATGATTGTGCGTGTTATCCACAACATACAGCAAATGTTTGCGTGTAATATTCCTGCAAAAAACAAACGGTGCTGCTAATTTCAGTGTATACATAACGTTAAAAAAACAGTTTTTCGTGTGAATGCTTTTAAAAAGGGAGTGTGACATCACGTGTTTAACCTTGTGACATACTGACCTCTCGTGCACGTGTCTTCCCTTCCTGGACATAAACATGGCATCATTATGAACACAAGTGGGTATCCATTGTTAATATAAAAAACAAGTTCAAAAATGCTTTTTGAAAAGATCCCTGCGTTTTACTTTCTCAATGCGATAGATTTGTCTCTTCGTATGTTTTTTAATGAAATGTATTATAACCTCGAGTTGTATGTTTCACCTACACTACTCTGTACATGCATCATGGCTTTTTGTTTTTCTTAAATTTGGCTGACGGATATATTTGCTTTTTTAGTATTAAAACAAAATGTAGAATGTAATTAAAAATAACTTCAAAAACATTTTGGTTTGGTGAGATAACCGGGAGAGAAATTATCAATTAAAACTATCAATGTTTTGAAGGGTGACTTAAACATTCCCTTGAAGTTTTCACTGAGATATGAAATTACTGACAGGCTGCCAAATCAATATCCTATTTCCAAGCGCTTTGTAACGTTGTAATTAAAACGGAGATCCAGAAATGATGTACCTATAATTGGCTATACATATTGTTAATTTCATTTCAATCATATTTGAACCGACAACTGTAAGGCTGCCTACAGCAATTTTAATATCGCAAACCAGTTCTTAAAAAATATCCGGATAAAAAAAGTGAATATAAAGTTCTATGTAACACGCATATATGCAGCGTAAGACAGGCAGTCGTGATAGTGTGTCTGTACACTTAACAAATTGTCATTGTTAAACGTATTCTCACCTTGCTTTCACAGAAGTGTTTGATGAGACACGTCTTGCCAACAGCAGTGCTGCCTATTCCGACGATCTACGCAGATACATGTATATTGAATGTGGTAATTTTCATAAAACGTCGCAGCTAGCAAGCTAAAACTAAGAGCGAGAACGTTACTTCTTATTTTACATAAAATATTCACTGTCATTACACATTTTAAGTTACATGAAGATGATCAAATGGATAATAATTATAAAGCCAAGCCGGTGTGCTGTATCTAGGATGTTGTAGTGGGTTAGTTAATATTTAACGTCACATCGGCAATATTTCTCCCATATCGTGATCTGATGTTGTAAGTATACTAACGCACATCTTGAACGACATAGGTCTGCGTGATCCTGGGTGTGTGTGGAATGTTACTGTACCGTAACTTTCATTTTGATCAAGATGACTGACACACTTCAGATCTTTATCTTATTTGAAATATCAATTTTCAAAGGGTAAATCTGAGTGAAATATCCTCACATTTAACGTGTAATCTACGGTATATATGCATAACTTAGAAGGGGTCAGTCACAGGTCTCCTAGGTGTCAGTTAAACTCTATGTGTTGGGAATCATGTGACATGAACTGCCGATGAACGCAGTGCTTAGCTCCTAAGTGAAATAGCCATGAAAGTACACGAAGCTTCGCTTGGAACATACAGCTCGATCTATAATTTCTCAAATAATCTCTAACATACCTTCACCCAAACTAACGAATCGACCGCTTGGCGGACATCCTTAGGTAGGTGTCCTGGTTTTCTGTCCATCTTGCAGTTTACACCACCTAAAACACATTAATTATTAAAATATGTTCGCATCCCGCTCTCATTGAAAGCACCTGTGGTTGCCTAACAACCATAAACAAACTGGTGCATTGTGGGAATGGTGGGAAATCCCCTTGGCTGGAATCCACAGTCAGTAAAGGCAGGGGTTCCCCGCGGTTTCACTTTAAGTAACGCGTTGTAGTCATGATACTTTATTTATACTTTGCGCGTAAGAGTGTTCTCTCGCTAATAACACACACCATTTCATAGATACACCACACAGCCACCAAAAAAGAGACATAAACAACTGGCAAAGGACACGTCAGTTTTATGGCTTTATCGGTCCAACAGGTGACTGCGCATGTGCAGTGGTGGGAATTTCCGTTCAGGAAGATAAGATGACCCAGAGCTGGCATGGGTTGTGCACAAAGTCTAAGACTTTATAAACGTGGCATTTCGTAATGGCTCGGTTGGTTATAGCGTATGTCCTCTGGTTCTTCGGAGGATGGGTCGGTTTGCATCACTTTTATCTCAAACGGGATCGTCACGCATTTGTTTGGTGGGCGACTTTAGGTAAGCTACGCACACACAATATTGATCTACGTCCAGTTTTCTTTGAAATAAAAATAACTCAAGTATGCTAATCATTCTGGTTCTATATTGTATGAAAACCTGTGTGGTTTGACTGTGAGCATATTGAATACAGACTTTGCTTTTGATGTATGAAGAGAATAAGGGGAGTGGCACCGAGTGTGACACAAATAGTTTCATCAGCCAAGTTGTGACACAACTGCATGTTTGCGTTAGTATCATGAAAAATAATACCTGTTAATTTACATTCTATAAATTGAATTGTTTGTGAATTTTCATGAAGATATGCTATTCTGTCATTATTTTATGTCTGTTGGAGGGTCACGACCAAAATGGAAAGTAGGCTGTCAATATATTGAGGCACAGGACCATATATGTAAAGTTCTGATAATAATAACAAACAAACTCGCAGACGAGGCCGAAGACAGAGAAGAAATGCAACAGAAAATTCTAAACTCGTCCACCTCAAGTTTTTGTCTATTTTTAAAAGCCTTGTCTTTCCATCTATCACCATAAACGTATGTGCAAAACTGTTCTGTATACACTCCCCAACATCCATGTAATCCATGTTTCTTCCATTGTATGGAAACACCCACCTGTCAACCTTCGGCCTCGCCTACAAGTTTTTTGCAAGTTTGTTTATTATATTATTATTAGTTACATATGGTCCTGTGATTGAGGGAATGTGCCTGAAATAACAGCTGTGTAAACTTGGATAGTGTTATGTGTATAAGTACACATCTCTATCATAAAGTAAGTCATAGTCATAATGATCTGAAACATAGGTATTTTATAGGCCTAAATGATTCCAGATTATCATATTTTAACATGTGTTTAAAGGTAGGGCCTAGATATATCTGTAGCAAAATAATATAACTCAATGTCAGTATCTTAATCTTAATTTTGATTTTATGTAGTGAGGGCATGTACAGTATCCTCCCAAACAATCATGTTTTTAACTTGATGAAATTGTTAAAATATTGTCAGATGTGACAAAGATCTCAGGAGGCTAAAACAAATTGCTATGAAACACTGTTGAAATGGACCACCTGTTCAGCACTTGCTATTCCAAAGTCAATGTCTGCTGGGAATAAAAATACATCAGTTGACTGTGATATATCATGATATATAATATATATATATACTAATTTAGAGATTTATGGACATATGTTTTTCAACAAAATAGATAATATACTCCCGGCAAAAAATAAGGGAACAACTTATTTGAGTGTAGCTGGAGTTGGGGTGTACATTTACAGTACCCCAGCTTGGCTGGAACGGCGGAAAGGAGGGCATTACCAAGAGCAGCCATACACAAGTTAATCAACAGTGTGCCATCAATATGTCGTGCATGTATCACCCAGCATATCGGACCCACCAGATACAGATCTACATGCCCTTAATTCATTTTAAAGACATTAAGGATCATTTATAATACACATTCACTATCATTTCATCAGTTCCCTTACTTTATGTCAGCAGTATGTGTGATGCCATTATGTAAGCAGAATGGCTGGTCGAATGACCATGAAAAATCATATTTCAGGTGGTGCTTTTGGACTCGGATGGGTACGGGATTTGTGGAAATTGCCAGATTATGTCCAAGAGTGCAACCGAGATGAAGAGTGGAAAAGGGAATTCACCAGAAGGAGGAGTGTTGATCGGAAACCCTCTCGGAGCACCAGCAGATTTGCAGGGGAGATCATCATGGGCAACATCCTGGGCTACCTAATCCGAGCCCTCCTTCCCGAGCAGTATGTGGACAGCACGAAGTTAGACCTGGGCTTCCTCCTGGCTGTCTCCCTGCCACAGCTCGGGGCTGCTATAGGTGGGTACAGAGACTGGCATCCTTAGAATCTGAGGGTTGAGAAATTCTCAAAGGATTTACTGGATCATGGACAATTGTGAATCTACCTTTTCTAGATTTTGAAATATGTCTTAACCCTCTCCAGCTAATCATGGGGCATTGATTGTACAGCCTAGGCCAGATGTTCTTAATAATGCTTTATGTATCCCTTGACCCTTAAGAAATTTGCAGTTGAAGTATTATTTTTTATATCTCCTACCTCAAGCTACATTGACGTTTCTGAAGTATTGTTTGCAAACAATAGCTGAGTCTCTGCTCCCCTTATTACTAGAGATAACAATTTTTGCTCAGGTGACCACCCTGTGGATGTAGACTAATCACATGACCAGACATTTCTCTTTTTCGTAAACAATGCACTTATTCTAAAATAAAGACAGTGGCCTAATGCAAGCGTTTTGGCGTGCTTTACATCGTGGTTTGCAGGTTCAGTTATGGTGTTGAGGTCATTGCGCCAGTGTGAACCACCAGATGATCTGACCATGTCAACAGTGTCCTGAGATAAAGATGAGGTGGGGGTGTATGTGGAGGTGTGATATTACTTATCTCGATGAAGAGGGGGGGATATTACGGGGTTTATCTTGCAGGCATATCTATTTTCTGACGTAGGCATTAGACAGTGCTCTGTTTGTGGTTGTGAATTTACTGCCTACAATCTTGTACCGCCATCTTCCGTACACCTGTATAGCGGACTGACCATCACCTGTTGGCACGATGGAGATGTAGTTTTGTCAGGTTTAGGATCAGATGCATGTTTCTCTTTCCACGACAGGCAGATAATTTCCTTACCCGTTGAATATTCACTCATAAGTTATCATTCACCTTGGGTGTACCGGTAATTTTATTTGGGTATTTAATATATGTGAGCCACCAGGAGAAAAGGGACATGATAATATGGGTGCTAGGATACAAGTGTGCTGTGATGTCATAAAGGAAGACATTAGACATTAACTTACCTCAATAAAGTTTGCCATGTGTGCGGACAGCTCAAAAATTTCTTATTTGTCTCTCGTTAGTTTGTAATGTGATAAATGCGTTTTTTCAGAACATGTCAGCATACATTTCTACTTTCAATTAATCTGACATTTATAAAACTGCTCTGAAAATGGGACTTTGCAGAAAATGATGCCATGTATCTCTGTAATAAATATGAATTGAAGCTTGTTAAATGTATTTTTATGTTCCTAAGATACTGTGGTTTTAAAATATAATGAAAATAACTAGGATACAGGTTTTGTATTGTGCATATGTTACACTGTTACACAAATATGCAGATTATCTGAAGCTACTAAACTATTAAATAACAATCCTAATCATCATGGATCTCCTGTGTGCAGTCTTTGACATCCCTACTGCAGTCGAGGTTTCCTTTTCAGTCTTTATGATTTCAGATTTTTACTTCTTATTTATCCTTCATTGCTCAATGTATGTTGCATTACTGAAGCATCTTTACAACTTTTAACCCTAAATTTGTCCTGTTTCTCAACAAGCTCAACAACTCACTAAGTTTTGTTACTAATGAAATGCAAAAGGGGGGATTGAATATTGGTTTGTTGCTGCAGGCTATAAATAATCAAGGCAAACTGATGGTTGACAGCATATGTAATGATCCATGACAAATTCATGTTTTATTTCTTATTTTTCAACACCTCAGGAAGTGTTGAGTCCCAGTATTTTAGAACAAGTTGATCAGATTGTAACAGTCCCCAGTGAGCAGATGTTTGATGCTGGAATAAAGTCCAGCTTCCTATGTTTGGGAGTTGGTGGTTCACAGGTCTGCAAGCTTGCCTTCCAGCAAAATGATGTGATGTAAATTTACCCTTCAGTTCAAGTCAATAAAAAAATAGCTCTATTGTTATATTTTGACATTGGAAATGAATGGTATCACCATTGTAAATAGGAAAACAAGTAGGTGGAAAAGTATACTTGAAATTCTACATCGCCACCGGCTCATATATGATAGCAAGGGAGGATTTTCAAAATAATGTAACTGTTTTGCTATTGTTTGTTGTTCTTATTGTATTTTGGCCGTGCCTCAAAACATTTTAAATCTACACTGAAATTTTGAATAGCTCCTTAAGTCAGATAAATTTAGGGTTTCATGGAGCATAGACTGGGAGTCATCGTGACTCACTGTATATGTTTGGGAAATTCAGGAGCACAGTTTGGAGATTCTGCATGAAGTGAAGTTTTTGTCTCAGGATGCTGATAACAAAAATATAGTGGCTGTTTAAGTCCCTTAGAGGTTTTTTGAAGGACTGATAAAATTGGGTTGCGTCAAATATCCGGAATATGACTCATCAAAAGTTTTGGAGGAAAAATGCTTTAGCTACACAGGATTCCTACGTCATTGGTAAACCTGCATGCTTACATTTTTACAGGCATTCTAGGTAACAAACATATCGCTACAGGGATTAGGGAAATCTGTGTACGCACAGATATGACACCAAAGATTTGTGTAGACTGAACTTTAACATATTTGCAGTCATAATAAGTAATGTGTAATTGAACAAGCCTAAAGTCTGATCCTGCATCCTTAAACAATTTGGTGATATGATTTGTTGTGTCAATCTTGTTAAAAATAATGTATTTTTTCCATAGGTGTTCATCTAGTAGCAAACATTGGTCGTCACAAAGGCTCCTGGAGCTGGGCTGCCCTAGGGGCCTACATTGCCACCCCCTGGCTAATCCTCAACCCTGACAATGTGGCAGTCGCACCCCTCATGTCGGCCATCTTTGTCCAGTGGAAGGGTGTGACATGGAGGACTGACCCCGAGCCAAAACGAGGCCTTTTTCGACGTGTCAGCAAACTGACATTCTACGGCACACTCTATCTAGCTCTGTGGGGATGTGTGATATATTTTAACGCCTCTATCACAACTAAAGATGGAGAGGAGATCCCCCTAAGGGAGGCGATTCCCAACTTCTTTAAATCTCCAGCTTGGGCTGAAACCAAAGACTCCATGCATAGACTGTACAATTATTTCCAAGCCCATGGCTGGAGAAGAATCTGGGACGAGATCAAGGAGACGTTTGATCCTGTAGGGGAGCAAAATGCATATAAGGTGGGTGTATAGGGAATACATGTACTTCCAATTCAGTCGTCAGAGATCCACTTGCAGAAGGAATATCAACTATTTTAAGCTTTATGTTCATGAATAACAATTGCCTTTTCTTAAAAAATATGCAATAACAAATATTGGAGACTAACTTTTTGAAACAATTATTTATGTTATTGCTTTTCATCAGTTCATCAGCAAATACAATACACACAATTAATACAATTATACATGGAAAATATTCTATTCTGGTTGGCTAATTGCTGGTAAAAGTTTCAAATCACTATGACATGTCTCTGATTGAGACATCCTTATTGACAGCCACATCATAGCAGAACTAAGAATTAAAGAAAATACTTTTTTCTTTGTCAAGGTTCGTAGGCAGTTTGAAAAAATTAAATGAGCAAATGTAGGTTACAAAATGATGTGCTTTCTTTGATATTCAGTGTGTCAGTAGCATTACATTTAGGAAAGAAGACATATAAATCGACTTAAAGTGCATCGTGAGAGAGCTTGAAATTTGGTGTTCCACTATTTTAGACTCTGACGTCATATTTTATTGTGTCACTGTGCGATTTCTGTCATTATAAAAGAGTGCATATTAGAATCCTGAAACTAGAAAAAGAGCAAGTTCTGAACTATAACTATCCATTATGTCATGTAATGTACTCAATGATATTAATATGATTTCTTGGGAGTTTCATACAGTATAAACATGGCTTGACCAGATCTTCCGTTTCTACTCTAAACAGGTCCTAGGTTTGAGCTCCAGCGCTACTCAGGAGGAGATAACCCATGCCTACAGGAAGATGTCGCGTCAGTGGCACCCAGACAAGCAGAAAGATCCCCAGAAGAAGGAAGAGGCACAAGAAAAGTTTATAGAGATTCAGCAAGCCTATGATATTCTCTCTTCCATCAAGGCCAGGAGATCCGCCAAAAATAAACAGTCAAGCAGGCCACGAAAAGATGAATTTTAGTGTGTGAAAAAGATGTATTGGTAGAACGAGGATGTCGTATTTGACCTAAGTTAGGTTTGATTACTTAAGGATGTCTGTGATTATGGTTTTATATAAATATTACAAAAAATGAATCACTTTCCATTTTTCTCAAAGGACAAGTTTTGGTCCCTGGTCTACAGAAAATGTTGTCTAAAATTCCCACATTATAATTACCCGGTAGTTCTTTCAAATTCAGGTTATTTATTCCTAACAAAGAGTACTTTGAGCATAACCATGTCCATTCAACCTGACTTAGCAGTTCCCAGTTGAGCACAGACTCCAGACGTTTATAACCTCTGCTTGACTACAAATCTTAATCAACTAGCCTGAAATTGAGTTGAGCCCAACAAATTTTTATAACTCCAAATGTGACATGCCTTTCACCATGTTCACAGAAAGCAGGATTATAGTTCGTTTTACATAACTGCATCAAATGCAATGTTTAAGAAAACTTTATAAACTTTATAAAGCTTTCCAATTTTGCTCAAAGAAATGCTGTTTCCCCAGTTGGACTGCCGAGGCACTTGGTTATCCTGGTACTAGTGTCTGTTATGTCAATATGTCAGAGAAACGATCTGAACTGCACTTTTGCAGATTAACAAGTGAAGGATTTGACCCTCTTGTTTTCATGATGGATGTATGCTCCCCAGGGTGCTGAGAATGAAATATAAGTGCACACTTATCCAAAGACCAGGGTTATAATAATATAGTCATGAGTAGCCACTCAGTGAATGGATCTGATGCATAATAAATGGACTGGTCAATACAACTGCTGATCTGTTGGGACAAATATGATATCTGAGAGTGTGACTGTTGTCTGTAGACCTGAAAGTTTGAATGTTTTCCTTTGTGTAGACCATGTAGACCTGAACATTTGAATGTTATCCTTTGTGTAGACCATGTAGACCTGAACGTTTGAATGTTATCCTTTGTGTAGACCATGTAGACCTGAGAGTGTATCTGTTGTCTGTAGACCATGTAGACCTGAACGTTTGAATGTTATCCTTTGTGTAGACCATGTAGACCTGAACGTTTGAATGTTATCCTTTGTGTAGACCATGAATGAATGTATGCACACTGAAATCCTGCACATGGGATCCTCCTGTGTATCTGCTGATGTTTTTAGATTGTAAATGTTTACCCGAGGAAAGTGTTTACAAGCAGCACAGAGAAGGAAAAGGGACTGCACTCTGCCCAATGTTCACGTAACTCTCTTGGTCCAACAACAATGAAAACTTGTTAGTGTTGGGGCACAAGGAATGGGGGTATGTATATTTATACTCCACTTTTGGTAGGTATGATCTGTCATTATATTTTGACATACACTTGACATATGAGAATCAGTTTTGTGTTATCATGGAGAGATAAAAATATCCCTGTCAAAAGTGGAGCAGTATAGTTTATGTTCAATCTGATGCTTTGCTATGAGAAGACAAGACTCTGTAAGTGGCTAATACCAGCTGATGTAATTTCATTCCACCACACCGTCATGTTATGATTCCATAGCTCTGGTGTCAGCATACACTAAGACAGTCAGTTTGAAATTTAATTAGAGATCATCATCAAATGGTTCTTTATGCAATTTTACCACCGTCCACGGAGAAAATCTATATTCAGGTACTTAAAAGAGCACATGTTGGTCCACATACCAGGTGCTACAACCTTATTGTATGTGTCATGAAAGTATGTATTTATCATGTTGCGTGATTGATATCATGGGATGTTGTTTTTGTGAAGTCAGTAGAAATACAGGGTGATCTATATGACGAGAGTGCCTACTGCTGAACATCTTAACATTTTGATAATATATTTTATAAATATAATTTAATTAACATTTGTAGACAGTGATTTTTTTCTTTGGTAGATTGTTTTAAAAGCTATTAATGCATACTAATATATTTTCCAACTAATAAAGTGAGTATGGTTTAATGCCGCTTTTAGCAATATTCAGGCAATCCCATGGCGGGGAATCCAGAAATAGGCTTCACACACTGTACCCGGGAATCGAGCCCGGGCCTTCGTTGTGAGGAGCGAACGCTTTAACCACTAGGCTACCCGACTGCCTCTCAACTAATAAAGCCAGGTCAAGGAATTATTAAGTGTCTAAAACAAACATGCACTTTTGTATGCAGTGGATGTGCAGAGAATTTGTTGATAATTTATTAATTTACTAACAATCACTTTCACAGTATATTAAATACTGTTTTGACTTTTGTCCTCCATCCAAACAAAGTTTTACACGGAATATGGATGCAGGCTCTGTCAGTCCGCCATGTTTCGTTTCCAGAGTAAAGTTCATAAACGGTTCAATATTTCTTGATGAAACTTTGCATACACATCATTCAAGCACAAAAGTGGTCCCTTTTGCTATTTTTTATATTTTGTGCATTTCCGTGCAACAAATTGGACTCATGTGAAGGTAGGGTTTGTTTCTGTACAATATTTCTTTATGAAACTATGTATGAACTTCATGCAAGTGCTGAACTAATTTTGCTATTCAGAAAGTCTTTAGATTTTGAGTTTCCAAGGCAATAACAAATGAGAGTTTCATTTTGATGATTAAACCATTCAATGTTTATGGATTTCATATGTCTTTCAACACTTTTTAGATTTTGGGTTAAAACAGGTCCCCAGCAACCTATGCTTGTTTTAGGAGGCACTTAAATGGATCGGTTGGTCAGACTTGGTTGATTGTGTGACATCATCCCAGAGTAGGACATTGCTCATGATACAGTGATTTAGTTAAAAAACAAGCACAGCATCATTCAGAAACTCAGGATTGTATGGTTTGTTGCTATGGTTGCTATGGAATCATGATTCAGAGTTTTTATAATATCTCATGATACATTGCTATCAAATCAATGTTCAAGAAGCTGTTTTAACCCTTTCTCTGAACCAAGGCATCAATGTTCAAGAAGCTGTTTTAACCCTTCCTCTGAACCAAGGCATCAATGTTCAAGAAGCTGTTTTAACCCTTCCTCTGAACCAAGGCATTAATGTTCAAGAAGCTGTTTTAACCCTTCAGATTTTAATTTAGTAATAAGCATATTATGTACCTCTTACTCTTCTCCAACAATGCATTATAGAGGCAGAGCAACTTGATCAGATATGTTTTAAAGAAGATTAGCATCAGAAAGTCATTAGCATCACACCATGTATCAGGGGCCAGTGGACGCGTTTTAATGTTTTATACTAGACATATCCATCTTATCTAATAAGGAATAAGACTGATCTTAATTAATTAATTGTGCATATCAAGTAGCGATATCAATAGGAGTTAGTGAGTAAATATGGTTTTATGCTGCTTTTAGCAATATTTCAGCAATATAACACCATAAATGGGCTTCACACATTATACCCATGTGGGGAATAGAACCAGGGTCTTCAGCTTGACAAGTGAGCGATTTAACCACTAGGTTACCCCTCCACCCCTCCATGTCAGGCAGATGGCTTGTTGCAGGATATGTTCTGTGACCCAGTGCCATATGGGCCTTGGTAAAAAAAACATATCTACTGCAATAGGGAGACCTATATATGCCTAACACAATAAGATAGAATCAGGCATACCGTAGAACATTTGCAGGGAGACTAGAAGGCATGGGTGGTCCAGTCATCTAAGGTGCTGCAATTCACTGTGCAGAGTTATGTCCCTTGGTCTCGCAAGGAACCTATGATTGTGGGTTCGAATCCCAGTTCACCCCGATATGTGACTAGGTTTGTCAGCACCATACCCGTGATCGTGGGTTTAACCAAAGTGGTTAATGTCTAAGACCTGCATCACTTCGGGCTTTCCTCCCACATCAAGATGACACACTGTGATATAATAGGAAAAAGTGTCATTAAACCTAACTCACTCATTGAAGGGAGACTAGGCTTCAGCTCTGTTATATAGGTGACTCTTTAACAGTTACTCATTGCTCTAGACTGACCCTGGTACAAGAGCATGGAGCAGTCTCCACGTAAAGTATAAGCTTCATAAAGATACATCGTATATTAATTCCTTTTTTCCGGTTATATTATTTAGTCAAGATTTGTGAATAGGTGCTTATGTTTTTATTGTTTTATCTATTTTGTTTAGGTTTTTAAATTTGGGTGTTCTTTTCTTGTATTACATGTATTTTCTTGCCCCAATATATGATTGTGTACCCTATTCCCATTGTGTTCATTCCAGGTTAACAAAAATTCCCTCAATACAGCTGATAACATTATATGTTCTTTTTTTCTTTTCTTTTGTTTCTTTTATATCTTATTTCCATATCAGGTTAATTATGTGCTGTATACCAGTACACATTCACCCTACATGCCATATCAGGGCTTCAGGTTTTAAATATTCTTTGGATTCAATGCTATTTCTCCTTATACTGGTCTGTAGCCCAGTAACACATACTGATAATCAATGAAAATAATGGTAACTTAAATTGCTTAAGTCCACAAGTAAATGCAGATCCATTTTGCTGTGCCTAGCACTCATCATTGTTCTTGGTGTAATAGACTGAAACCACATTCACTACATACTACCGGGTACCCATTTTAGTTTTGGGTTCCATGGTACAACAGGAATCAAACTCGCACCACATTCTCTAATTGGGATACAATTTTGAGGCAGATATTTTTTATATTCAAATTTATTATCCTAATTACTTTGTTAACAGAGTATTTTTTTTCAAAATATAAAAACATATATCTTTGAAGTACCGGTAATCTGTTACAAGTAAATGGTTGAAAGTGAAATAAACAATAAAATGAAAGAAACTGGCTGTGCTGTGCATTTCACTGAACAACACAGATTCTATTGCCTGTTTTATGGATATTGGGGGTGAAAATTTCAAGCTGGTAGATTGGAAAAATATAAAGGAATAAACCAAAATATTTTATTTATTTTTAGGTTTTTCATATTGTGTGCACACTTAATTGAGTAATGAATAGGTAAGGATGTAGTTGACCATATAAAAAATAGTGTGTTTCATATTTTATTTCTTTTCCACTTTACTTTTGTTTGGGAGGGTCAGCAGATTTATTTTAAATGTGTTACCGTATTCGACGTAATAAGCACCCACAGCGATATAAGCTAATATACTGGCTAGTGAACAATCCCAATTTGCACCCCTTCCGATTGATCAATGTACACAAGACTTATTTTTTCGCGTATAATACGCACTCGTGTGTTATATGCACCCTTAATTATAGCTAGGCAATTAAATTCTGGAAAAATATATCTGTGATACATAAACATTTCAGGCTGTCAGCATACACCACGAAATTTATCTTTTTTTCACCAAAATAATATTCTAATAAGAGCCCCCATTATTTTGAGAGCACTCTGGGCGCTTATTACGTCGAATACGGTATTTCTATTTGTAAACAGGCTGTTGGCCTAATATATTTTAATGTTTTTTGTCCATATCTGTGAAAGTTTGTTATGGGATTCATAAAGCAAGTCATGAGCTAAGGTTGTTTGTGTCTCTGCACCTATTGCCAATATAGATGGTTGCTGTGTATTTCATTGTTCTATTCTAGTCTGGAGATAAACTATGAATGAATTTATTTTATTCTTACTTCAAAAGATTGCATTGAGTTTGAACTATATATATATAGATACCTGTATATCACAGCTTGCCCAGAGTAATATGCATGTGCCTGTTGAGGGCTGGTGGGATACAATCCATTGCCCTTACTCAGGATTACTATCTATAAATGAATGCTAGTGCAGCATCACTGAAATAGATAGTCAGAATGGGTGTTGTTGATCATAGGTATATAAAAGCTATATATATATTCACACACAAGCTGTAATTCTACCGCCCGGACATCAGGTTCTGCAAAATGTCTGGACTCTTCTTTCTCAAATGTCAGCCACGCCATCATGAGCTCGATGATGACATATCAGACTGTTGTACCTATGCATTATGATGTTATGTTTACTGATCTGTGACCTAGGTCATTACTCTCTGCAAAGTAAGGTCAAATCTTATCAATGTCGATATTATCAACATGACATTTTTGAATTTGTTGATTACATATAAAAATATTTGTATTCAAGTGATATTGCCATTGTGTATTGCCATTGTACACAAAAGTGTGTTGATGTTAGGATGATTGAAACAAATTAAAATGTAGCATGTACACATTCTCATAAAAAAATTTATCTATATTTGGACTGTCCATGTGAAATCCCACAGAAATCCCATTGTCTTTGCTTTTGGAACAGAAGTGATACTGGGACCGCAAAATATATTATTACTGACCTTGACATTCCCAATAAAAAAAACAATGGATGAAGCAGACACTTGTAATGAAATAGTCAGAAGCGAAACCTTGGTGTATCGGCTTACACCGACAGAAACCTCCTTTTAGGTTTTGGAGGTCATATGTGAAAACAAGGCACTGGCCGACACACCATGTACATTGTGAACCTTCCATTCAGTGGGCGGAACTGTTACTGGTACAGAATTCAGACGACTGACATCCCTATCATGATTGTGACACAATAGCCAGCCATTCACTCATCTATGCAGGTGTAATGTTATGTTTAGCAAATTAAGATATTTTTTGTTATAAAAGTGACCTCTACCATGTCTGTGCAATTGAATACTGCATGTTTCCATCTCTGGGAGAATTTGGTTGATGAATTTGGAGGGCAACATCTCTGCCATTTTTACATGTACGATGGTGATTTCTTTTTAGAAGAATTGATTTACATGTATGTGCAGAATCTTATGCAATGGCAGACTGTAGTCATTCTTCATCCATGGTTTGTATCCTCTGACTAAATATAAGCAGTGTACCAACTGCTGACCATAGTGATACTATTATCCCCAGCAAATGTTGAGCAGTGTATACAAATTGTGATATGTATTCCTGCATTGCCCTCAGCAGGCACTAAGAAAGCAGCTTGATATGAAAACTATCATTCAGAATATTCGTCCACTGTTGATAAAAGCTAATAGATACATGTAGGACATATACACATATATTTTCACCATGGATCTTTTCAATATTTCAGATCATATTTGAATTTTATTGTTGTTTAACTTTGCTGAATAAAGTGTTAATTATTGGGCAAGTTGTCATTCTCATCGATGATTGTTGTTCAGTGAGCGCAAGTGAGTCAGCAAGTATGGTTTTACGCCGCTTTTAGCAATATTTCAGCAATATCACAGCAGAGGACACCAGAAATGGGCTTCACACATTGTACCCGGGTCTTTGGCGTGACGAGCTGACACTTCAACCACTAGGCTACCCCAGTGACTAATACCCCGTTCACATGCGCCTCAATACATGTGTATATGTGCATACGTGTGTAGAAATACATACGTGAGTATATTTGTCATGTGAATGCATTTACTCATGTGTGTACATTTTCACCAGTAGCAAATTTGCATCATGTCTGCAATGTGATCGTTTATGTTAACGTAAGAGGATGATCTAATTAATATCTGTTCTTTTGCCAACACCAAACAAATTGTCAACAGTTGCCAACTTTTATGCGTATATACAGAGTTGAGTGAACTGTGTTTTCTTTTGGTTTCAAGGAGTCATAACATTGTGTACAAATTAAAATTTTGGTGAAGTAACTCTCTTCTAATTCAACTTTGATTGGAAAACTACCTGTTTTGTGTTGAAAGTCGTGAACAGACTGACGAATATGTGTGCCTTACACAATTTACATACTTTATTTACACACCTAAGTTGATTTTCATGTGAACGCAGTCAATTTGCAATATACACACACATATGTATGGTTACACAGGTGCAAAATTACTTACGTTAGTAAATGTTGTGCATGTGAACGGGGTATTAGTGTGTTGAGTTTAAGTCTGCTATCAACAGAGTTTCAGTTGGTATATCATGACATGTCAGCTCATAAAATGATGTAATGCAGGTTTAAGACATTTACCACTTTGTGAAACCCACGATCATAGGTATGGTGCTGACAAACCTAGAAACATAATCAGAACGAATCGGGGCTAATCTGGAAATAGAAGTCACGATCATTGGATTCTGTCATGCATAAGGGATGTAACTCCATAGCGCAACTAAGATAACCAGTGCCCTCAACACAGTCAGCCATGTCACACAATTCAACTATTCAGTCGGATAATGAGACAAGCATAGGGCACTGGGAAACTACTCTGCCTAAACTCTTAATATCTGAATCTGCTCTTGGTCAATACTTCCAAGTGTTCCAGTAATAAAAGAGTTACTAAGGGAGAAATTCAAAATAATGCAGTTCATGGACAACGTTGATGACTCCATCAAGCATGGCATGCTGCCGTACCACCATTGTTCAACAGACCCCAAGTTGCAGGTCATTCAGCTCTGTGGTTTTCACACAAGTCAAAAGGTTACAATTTTCATATTAATTGGTAAGGTGGCCAACATGCCATCAGCAGGATCCGCAGTCTGATTTAATTAAAATCAAACTTTCAAAATCACATGAAAACCAGTGCATGGGTTTATATGTCATCTAAGGCATTGTAACTTCCTGTACAGAGTTGTGGCCCTTGGGCATGCCAGGAGCCTATGATCATGGGTTCAAATCCCCAACTTCTCCCAAATGTTTTTAGGTTCGTTAACACCATACCATGGGTTTCACCAAAGTGTTAAATGTCTGAGGCTATCTTTCCACATCTAGTGGCCACAATACCACTGAAATAGTGTTCCACGCAGCATTAAGCTATACAGTTTCACTCAGACTACCACAATCCTGTGATGGAACGTTCCATAGAACAGTGAGTACCTCTAACCCAGATAAAACAAAACAAGACAATACATAATAGTTAGCAAAGCCAGCATTTTTTTTATATTTTTATAGGCACATTTTTCAAACATCATGTAAAACAGAATAGGAAGTTATTTTTACAAACCAGACTATGATTTACTGTACATTTATGATTAAAATATTATATATGTACAGAGCTACCAATACTCATGTTCAATGTCAGTCATAGTAAACTTCCTGTCATGTGTAGCAATATGCCTGTGATCAGAACAGAAGAAACAAAACATCTTTTGGAAAGTCTCGTAGTTCCATAATTATTAACACAATTAAGAGTATTTCAGAGCATGATCCGCTTTCCATTTATGTATATACACAAACTTTATCAGAATGATACTTCAAGTTGATATCATGATTCTCAAGCAAAATGAATTGTCCATTAAAAAAGTCTTGGAACAGTCTGTAAAGCGTCAGTGAATTGGCCTTATACAGAAGGCAGCGATTTTGCAGCTGAGAAAGAAACTGAGCTGCATCAGGCAAACCAGTTGTTGATAGTGTGAGCAGCCATCCAAGTACAATTCACTCTCAGTCCTTGATAAGTTAAATGATAACCCCTAATTTAGACTTGAAACCTACTCCAAGAATGCCACCATGAGATAATCAAGACCAGATGAAACAATAATAAGATTCTGGCTTCTCTGAGTGAAAAACATATTTCATCTTCATTTCTTATCAAAATTATTCTGGAGGTGGAACATTACTTTTGAACAGTTCCTTCCCAGGAGATGTCCCAGCAGGACATTGCAACACAAATTCATCACACAAACCATCTCTGTGAACTCACACAAGAATCTCGACATAAAGGTCACGTCTGTTCCTCTCGTTCAGAATTCAAGCACTTTTCGAATGTAACACACAATAGCTGTATTCAATGAATATAATAATCTAGAAAAATCAACATTTTGGTCTGAAAGCACTTCTCATAATGAACTACCATGGTTACTGGATACTGCAGTACCAACAAAACAAAGCATCCAATGCTATTATCCAGAAACACCTCACATGATAACAACAACGCACATGCATCAAACTTCTAATATGAAAATGAAAAGAAAAACACAAGTTGTTTTTCAAAAAGCATTCACATTCATGTAATGTACAAATATCAATCCCAACTTAAGGGTCATTAATGTTATCTCATTGAAAGTGTACCAACCCAAACAGTGAACCATCTTGTTGAGAGTACCAACCCAAACAGTGCAACATCTTGTTGAGAGTACCAACCCAAACAGTGCACCATCTTGTAGAGAGTACCAACCAAACAGTGCACCATCTTGTTGAGAGTACCAGCCCAAACAGTGCACCATCCTGTAGAGAGTACCAACCAAACAGTGCACCATCTTGTTGAGAGTACCAACCCAAACAGTGCACCATCTTGTAGAGAGTACCAACCAAACAGTGCACCATCTTGTTGAGAGTACCAGCCCAAACAGTGCACCATCCTGTAGAGAGTACCAACCAAACAGTGCACCATCTTGTTGAGAGTACCAACCCAAACAGTGCACCATCTTGTAGAGAGTACCAACCAAACAGTGCACCATCTTGTTGAGAGTACCAACCAAACAGTGCACCATCTTGTAGAGAGTACCAACCCAAACAGTGCACCATCTTGTTGAGAGTACCAACCCAAACAGTGCACCATCTTGTAGAGAGTACCAACCCAAACAGTGCACCATCTTGTTGACAGTACCAACCAAACAGTGCATCATCTTGTAGAGAGTACCAACCCAAACAGTGCACCATCTTGCAGAGAGTACCAACCAAACAGTGCACCATCTTGTTGACAGTACCAACCCAAACAGTGCACCATCTTGTTGACAGTACCAACCAAACAGTGCACCATCTTGTTGACAGTACCAACCAAACAGTGCACCATCTTGTTGACAGTACCAACCAAATCATGTTAGTAACAAGCTAGTTGACTGCCATTAAAAATGATAATCTTTCAGGATTGTTCATACTAATCAACACTTGTAGCTTGATAACATACATGACCAATACTTGCCTTCTACCAATGACAGTATATTCTGTTCACTGTAACAGAGAAGGTTTAGCCAGACCTTTGCTAATAACACAGGCACCTGTGGTGTTGCTTGCTGGAAGAACAAGGGGGTGTCCTGCCCTTTTTGTGTCTTTGTTCACTGGGGTAGTGTGCACCCCCTCCCCCCTTTTCAAAATGGCTTCATCTCACCTTCCTCTGTTGTTGCCGCATTACATGTCGCGGAGTTAGGAGAGAGGTAATATGACCTTAAGAGTATCTAAAGACATAACATTATTCAAAACAAGTTAACAATGAGAGGGTAACATTTAAATGATAATGAAAACCTGCATTAATATCATGATTATTCTGCCAGTTTTATCTGGCATTCCCATGATTGTGACTCCCCTCCTTGTCTATCTGATTTTTGTTACTGACCCCACAGCTAAACCCACAGTCAAGAACTGAATCTCTAATCTTCGAACACTTTTGGCCAATGTTCCATGCATCTGGTCCATTGAACCCATGTAACCCTGTAACAGAGTGGAATGTTGTTTTCCCAATGGAGCTGCAGACATCAAATATGTTTAAACTTACACAAGTGATGCCAATAATATAATGCCAAAGGAACATATACGCCTTGTTTGGAGGACTGTTCATCTATAAACACTTCTATCACACGAGGCACAAGGCTCCTTCCCCTTATACAGTAATGGGATTTGGCTGGCAGCACATTTAGCCATATCTACTTCTCCTAACATAATAAACATGATCATATAATGGCTAGTATTATCGATGTGATAAACCAATCCGATAAACTTTATAATGAACCAACCAGGATGCAAATGTTGCCGAGCAGAAATCACTTCAAGCTCCACACATTGGTGCAATGCCTTCTTTCTCAATAAACTACTGACTAATATTCCCAATATGCTTAGATAACAGATTCCCAAGGTGGTGCCATGTTTCTGTGGACCAACATGGCACCAGTCATTTGGCACAATACCCCCGGTATGATAATTTCGGCATTTCACTCAAACTTTGAATTTTTATGTGGTTTTTAAAGCTACATTAGTGAATGAACCAAAGTCTTAAACATCCATTACTTTAAGAGTGACATTATCAGATACATAGATTGTTACCTTTGCATGTTTCTGTATCTTAAATATCATATATATGCAATATAAAATATTTATATTGCTGGACGAATGCTTTCAGAATACAGCTTTAATTCCTAATTCATGATATATAAGAGCTCGCCTAATACAATTATTATTACTCATATTACAATATGGAAACACACTCGGCTGAATAGAGTGATAACTGAACACAATGTTCAGGGTACAGGGGACTCCTTCACGAGGAATGGCTCATAGTGGTCCATACAATACTGAATATTGTTGATGGATGGGATTTATCTATGACACTTTTTGGCAGGCAAATTTTGAAGAAATCAATACTTTGTTCTTCTTCTTTAAGTTCTTATTTTCATAAATTCAGAGGTACATAACATTGTATTTTAACATTGTATTCAGTGCAATATTGTCGAACTAAGCAATCAAAGCCTATTACCTATATTGATTTTCATTGTTATCAGTGAAATATCAGTCACCTCTACCACCTTAAGCCAACACATTTGTAATAAACAACAGCAGTTGTGACTAATGAATGACCCATGAGGCTACACCACAGGCCCTAGAGGATCAGTAGGAAACATCTTTGATAAGAACCCAGAACTAAACTGAATGAATAGATCTTCCATAAGAATCAGTGAATGAGTGAGTATGGTTTTACGCCGCTTTTAGCAATATCCCAGCAATATCACAATGGGCTTCACACATTGTACCCATGTTGGGAATCGAACCCAGGTCTTCAGTGTGACGAGGGAATGCTTTAACCACTAGGCTACCGCCCCCTTCCATAAGAGTGAAAATGTAAGGTTAAAATGTGCACCGACATACTGAAACTTGAGTACAAAGCTTTCCTACTGGAACATCCTGTCCTAACCACTGCAGAAACGTTCATGTTGGCTAACTAATGGATAATGCAGAGGTAACAAATATTCCAACAAGACAATTATTTTCGGCCATCACAGCAGAAGAATAACAGGTTGAAGATATATTGTGGTAAGTGAATTCTAATTACATCCACATTATGAACCTGACGATGACTAAGTAACATGCATTGAGTGGTGAATGTAATTCCCATTGGCACAGTTTCTGACATCTTTCAGGGCAGTAGGGTAGCCTAGGGGTTAAAGTGTTCGCTCATCATGTCGAATACCCGGGTTCAATTCTCGACGTGGGTACAAAGTGTGATGCCCATTTCTGGTGTCCCCCACCGTGATATTGTTGGAATATTGCTAAAAGCGGCGAAAAACCATACTCACTCACTCACTCACTCACTCACTCACTCCCTCTGACATCTTTCAGACTGCTACTCAAGTTTGTCATTCAAGCTGATTTTGTCTTAACCCACAGAGTTTATTCAGGGAAAGTTAATGCAAGGATAAGTATTTCAACTGTTCATAAACCCTGAGAAGAAGATGAATTGTAAACAAGATCATATCCTGCATACAGTGGACCTCATTTCTAAATGCAAATCAATATGGTGTCTGAAATGCAATGCAAGCACTCTGAAATGAACTATGCACTCAAAATGTTCACATGTGTATGGAAAACAAGGAGAAGTTCTTCTGTATATACAACTTCTATTACAAGCAGCGACTTGGCTTTGGGGTAGATTCTTACACTTTTATCAGCAAACGCTTGTCTACACCAAAACAAAGTCATCTAAGCTGTAATATAGAAGTTGTTTGTCCATACAAACTTGTACTTGTTCACCTCGCCAACTTCTAAATTCAATCAAGGTGTATGGTAAATGAAACAACATAAAACAGTCTCACATCGCACAAAAATGAACATATATATTTTGAAACTGTACAAGATAAATAAGTCAACACAAGCTACACTGAAACACAATACAATAGAATGTACAGGACTGGACTAAACAACTGAAGTATGTTTTGCTTGGATTAAATGTTAAATATCACATTCACTTGTCAGTTCCTTTTCTCAACACTGGACCTTCAGTGTGCAACTAAAATAAATCAAAAGGCATTATTCTCAGGCCAAAGTGAAAATATACTTGCAATACATGTATTCCAATATACCTAAAACAAATGACTACTTATTTGATCCATACTTGAATTTGCAATTTGAACATAAGCAAACAAATATAAATAAAATATGGCCTCAGGATAGCTCCCCATTTTCTTAAGTACACTTAGGCTTTGTCTTCAAGCAACGATGAATGAAAGTATTCTTGTATCATGTGTATTGGGTGTAAATGTTCAAAAATATAGTCTATTGATTCAGTATTGAACCAAACAGGCTAAGACTAGTTCATCTTTCTGACGAGACTGCACTCAAGTGTCTTCCTTCTCTACCATATGCCTTCAGAGTCCTATTTCAAACAGTACTCTTAGCGCTAAGACGATTTTAACTCTAACACTGACTTGTGAAAGTCATAGCAGTAACAGCCTATTGTGTAATGGGGACCAGGTCATAAGTCAATCCTTTTCAGTCTCCAGGGAGAATACCTTGTTCTGAATAGCCTAAGACGTGTTTGCATGCAGATGACAATTCGATTACACAAAGTCTCAATTAGTCATACTTACATGCAAGGGACCAGTCTATAATATGGGGTGAAGGGTGGGAATTAAAACAATGAGGGTACACATAAAGATCTGAACATAAAGACATGAAATGCAAGAAGCAACCACAAAAAAGGAATAAAAAACTAAAGTTGTTATCAAAACCAAAAAAAGAAGTGTCATGTCCTCAGTTGGGTAGTTAGAAAAGTCCAAATAATATTCACCATAAAAAAAAAACTATTGATAGAAAAGACAACATGATAAAATGAAGGGCTCTTTCAATATTATCTAAACCCTGCCCATAAAAAGTTCCTCCATTATTAATGGACGGTCCCTAATACAAACATCACCTAGGAATGTACTTGATTGATTTGTTGGTTCAATGGACAAAGACAAATGAAATTTGCAAAACATTACCTGAAAAGCATGAAACATAAACATGAAAACGCTACTTTAACATGCCCAAATATTAATCATGGACTCACTGCATACAATCCACATAAAGCACTATTTTACAGCAGAAATTCCAAAGTGTGCATCATTATATAGGTCTGTACATCATCTAGCATCACTCGTATCACAATCAAGAAACAATCGTTATTAGCTATACAACACAACCCTGCTTGGACTAGCACATCGTAATCAGACTCGGTCTATGTCAGATCTTGAAGACATTGGTCTGGAGGTGTCCTCACAGAAACAGAGAGGATTCTTTCCACATGGAAGTTGTCATAAAAACCTGAAGCAAGAGTCAGTGAGTAAGGTGGGTTTAACGCTGGTTTGAACAGTATTTCAGTTATATCACGACATGTCAGCTAAATGTGGGAGGAAAGCCCGAAGTGATGCAGTTCTCAGACGTTTACCACTTCAATGAAACCCATGTGCATGGGTATGGTGCTGACAAACCTAGAAACATAAAAGGGGTGAACTGGGATTTGAACTCACGAGTTCTGGTGTGCCAAAGGGGTGCAATTCTGCGGAGCAAACTGCAGCACCTTATACGACTAGGCCACCCGTACCCCTACAATGTGACCTGCTGTTGAGTGCTTTGTAAGTATATGACTGTATAATGCTGAGATGGCTGTACCCAACAAGAGACTGACTCCAACTAAAACTACCAGTAACTTCATCACCTATGTGTTGCATCCAGGTACCAGGATGTCCTCAATCAAGGAAACAGGCATTTGTCTAGTCATGCCAGTGAACAAACAATGGGCAAACTGGGAAAAATGTGATACAATTCGCATGTCATTTGTGTATCGTACCAAATGAGAAAAGCTAATTCCTTTTATTGAAATGTATTAAATCCTTAGAACAGCACTAGTTAATGCAAAAATTGCAAATGTACATGGATATATAGGTCTGTTTTATGTTTATGGTCTGTTCCATAAAATTTAATTAAAATTTAGTATTTCCCGAAAAATATAAAATAAGAGAGGTGCATCATATTTAATTGATAAACATTCAGTGTCAACATGGTAATGAATGTGTTTAAAATATCAAATGTATTTTCTTTTATCATTCGCTTCTGATTAATAAACATCAAGTGAAAACATGGTATAGGATGTGTCTAAAATAGCAAACATACTTATATGCACTGATCTTGCAAAAAAAAATCATTCACCATATAACAAGTTGTACATCTACATTATACCCCTAACATACCAATGCTTGTTCCACAAACTGTAAATGATATTTATATTACCTCTACAATATCTCCTCCTCTGCAGGGACAATCTGACAACCTGTAAAGTAAAACTGTGACAAGAGGAGCTAAGGTGGGCAAAATGCTATTTGTCAGCTTACTCAAATCCTAGGACACAGGACAGCCTGGCTGTTAAAGATTCACCCCATCACATTGTTTCCCTTTAACATGTTTAATAGACAATCATGCCCTTTGGATGCAACACACATCTGGGCAAATCCCCAAGTGGAAAGAACCAGCTGACATTTGGCAAACAGACTGAACAAGGCAGGAGACTCAGGGTCCCAAGGAGTGACAGTAGACCATGCTGAGTGCAGGGCGTGTGAAGGACATCCATCTTAATGAGAGTTCATAACCGGTTAGTGACTGGCCTCCAGTAGCCTGCTGTTAACATGGACAGAGTGTGCATCCGGTTGGTCTTCACAGGTAGAAGTACATCACAGAGATCAGAGATGTGGTTCTTCCTTCAAATATCTACAGAGGAAGAATATTTCACAATGAAGTTTGCAGGATGTAGTCAGCGAGAATTGTCTTATCTATCTATCAGGGCCCCGTTCCCCAAAGTGGCGCAGCGGCTCGACTATCATAAGCCATGTTTAAGTATGGAAGTTATGATCATCTTAGCGCTAAGATCGCTTTGTGAAATGGGGCCCAGTCTTGTAATTGCAACACCAATAAAGTGAAGGGTAAGCATTTTACAGATATTCTCAATAAGTGCACCTGTTAACTCTACCACAGTAAGCTCATGGCAAAGGACTGTACATGGTGTACCAGGGTATCAGATTTCAAAAAATGAAAGTTATAGTCTTAGAAATGATATAAATACAAGAAAATTTATAACTAGTTATAAGAAAAGTAAAAAACTACATAATGCGGATGGCCTATTCTTGAGCTTCACTTCCACTAGTCAGTACATTCATGACTTCATAAAAATAAAGGTATTGGAAACTATTTTCATCCAAACTGTGTATGAAATTGCTACGCAATGATTACCTAGCTTCAACAATGCCTCACGTACCTTCATTAAAGCTATACCAGAGCAGAGAATCATTCTACTCCATGAGCGAAGATCATGACTAGACCCGGCTCCATAATCAGGTCCTCCGGCATATGCTGGTTCTCACACGCCATCACCACCACCGCCTGCTTGCCTGCACAAACACAGTGTTACAGTGTTACAGTGTTAACACCTTTTTCAACCATAAATTTTACTAAAATATTGTACAGCACCAATCGCTTAGGCCAATAGAAACATAAAAGTGGTGGCAGGATCAAACTTCACTCGCTTTTGTCTAGTGGGCCAGTAAATTGGTTGAAACAAGCAGGGAAAATCAGGACTTAGTGGATGAGTGAAAAACATGCCATAACACCACATTCTAACTAGGACAGTTAGTCACGCTGGTCAGGAAGTCAAAATGATGGCTTACAAAGCCACTGAATATCAAAAGTCGTCACTGAGTAGTCAGTATGTTTGAAATGAGTAAACGCCACAGAGGATCTGTTTTCGAAATGACCCCAAAACCCAAAACGTTTTGTCCTTGTTAGATAAATGCTTAGTTTCATGAAACACACACTGGACATGAGGCGTGAACAAAGACAGACACTCCCCTCACCTATCAACTAGAAAATGAATGAAGTTTCATTAAATCCTAAACAAACTCATCATATGATCATCACCAAAACACAACTGCATTCAGTCCATGCATCCTTCAATATAGTAGAGCAGAAGGGGTGGATACATAATGTTCACTGTCAAAATCTGTATGTTGCTGGACAGCATCAGGTGTCCCCTCCAGATTGTACCTTGGTTTGAATTTGAAATACAAGCTGCTATTGTTGTAATATCGAACATGATGAACACAAATCAGAATGTTTACAACACACTGAAGACCTTGACTATTGAAGACTTCCCATGTACTGCTATTCACATGACAGCATCTTAACTAAAATACAAGCTAAACATGCACTGAAAATTTATGATAAGAACAAGTGCTTTGAGCATGTTAACATGTTATGGTACACTGTCTAAATGCCACTGTGTAAATACCTAGGGTTTGTTTCTAGAATACCTCCTGGCTTGTCAACTGGCAACAAAATTCCAAAACGGCCTCCCATAATAAATTAGTTTTGGAGGGATTTCAGATCATTTTATTTTCTAAGACATTGAGTAATTGACTTATTTTATCAAAAAAGGTTTATTCAAATTTGATATTGATACATATAAATGTCTCATCAAAGTTGATATTTTTCTTGAAAATGTACTAATGTCATTTGTAACTTGCAAGATCAAGGCATGCTATGTCTGTACCCCTGAGAGCATCATATGAGTTATTACACATGATAAATGAATGAAGTGTCATAAAATCATTTTATATATTTTCAAACAATTATTACAAAGCAAACACATTATCCAATACATAAGAACGCACACTGAAAAAAAAAGCCAAAAACAAAAAAAATGTTGTGATAATTTCAAGTAATTTGAACCACTTACCCGGAATTCTCTTTGTTATATAATTTTCATACTGCCGTCTGTTTAACTGTCGAGTTTCTAGTGTACTGAGCCCCGTTGGCCACCTCCTCTCATGGGCATTCTCCATCAGCTCGTTGACTATATGTGTGGGGCAGCCACTGTCAATCAGCGCCCTCTTGATGACAGCTTGTAGCACAGCATCGGGGGTAGATATCATTCCACCCCACCGCGTCACCCGGGCCGCCTGCAGGCTCCCCACCCACCTGAAAATGTTTCAGGGTCAGAATGTTTCACAGTACATGGTCAGAATGTTCCTCTGAACATGGTGACATTGTTTCACATATTCACAAGACAAATAGTTCATTATATACAATGAGCGACTTTAAACTTTGAACAGTATTCCAGTTATATGACAGCGTGTCAGTGATATGTGGGAGGAATGCCCGAAGTAATGCAGGCGTTTACCACATTGGGGAAACTCATGGGTATGGTGCTGACAAACCTAGAAACAAATTTGGATTCGAACCCACAACCATAGGTTTCTGGAGTGTACAAGGGATGCAACTCTGTACAGCAAATTAAGGAGCCTTAGACGACTGGGCCACCGGTGCCCCTCATTACACACAGTCACTGATAACTTATAACTAGCCAGACTTTTAATACAAGACACTGGCCCTTACATGGTTTGTCTTCTTCCAAAACATTTCATGGTCAATATGCCTAGGTGCAGGAGGCAAATTACAAATTTTATCAGAGATGATTCAAGGTTTATGTCCAAGTAAAACTCTTGAAAGAACAGTTTTAACTAGGCCATAAACCAAAATGTAGTCAAATATATGTTTCCAATTAACCACTGAATTCCATAACTATCAATTTTTTAATTGTTTCAAAATTTTGTAATGATTAAGGCATTCTTATTCGTACAACAAAGAGCAAACTGGTATAAGCTTTGGCTGAACAACAGATCAGTTCCATTGGGAAATGGGAAACCACTGATTTCATTCATTTCCATCTATTTCATAGTTCTGAATGCCATTATCACGACAGGGGACACCAGAAACGGGCTCCACGCATTTTACCCACGTGGAGAATCAAACCCGGGCCTTCAAAGTGACGAGGGAACAAATTAACCACAAGGCCACCACACCACCACTACTGTTATCATGGAATAATTTCAGATGCACCTTGTACCTGAATATGCCTGATGCTGGGATGTGTTCAGTTGAATTGTTTTAGAAGCTGGAACTTTGTTCAAGCTCGTTTTGAAAGAAGAAGGAAGAAATGCACAGTTTGAGATAGGATAAGTTATAACATGTACATAATGAAAAAGTCTTAATTGTGATTAAAGATGTCTGTGGCAGTTTACCTGATGACATCTTCATTCTCCATGGTTGCCTGAATTTCTCTCATCCGCGGATTAGACACACGCATTGATCTCATGTACTCCTGCAAGAATACATTGTTATCACTTTTATAACATTCACATTAAGTTACTTTTCTGGTGACAATTATTTGTCAGATTCACAATATCAAACTGTTATTTGAAAATCAAATAATGGGTGTTAAAAATTCCACATTTATGACAAGGTCAAAGGGTGTTTTTCCCATAAATTATCACTGCATTAGTCCTGATAATTCCTACTCCATCATTAACCTCCATACGCACAAACAACAAACATTTGTTAATTGACATCCTACAACATGTCGAACTGTACCTTCAAGAGTTGTATTTCTCGTTTTTGTTCATTCAGGGCCAGTTTCTGTTCAGCGTTCTCGGACTGCATCTCCTGCATCTTCTGCTGCAGCTGCATCACGATATTGCGCAGCTCTCGAGTGCAGTTATGGTCCTGTGTACAAAAAACAGCCAAACCATTAACCAAATACTTACACTGTCATCAGAGAGGGAATTGAACCCATACTAAGGAGAGTTAAAAAGAGAGAAGCAGGGAGAGAGAGAAAATTGAACCTATACGAAGGAGAGTTAGAGAGAAGCAGAGAGAGAGAGAAAGAGAGAGAGAATTGAACCCATACGAAGGAGAGTTAGAAAGAGAGAAGCAGAGAGAGAAAGAGAGAATTGAACCCATACGAAGGAGAGAGTTAGAAAGAGAAGCAGAGAGAGAAAGAGAGAAGCAGAGAGAGAAAGAGAGAGAGAGAGAGAATTGAACCCATACGAAGGAGTTAGAAAGAGAGAAGCAGAGAGAGAGAATTGAACCCATACGAAGGAGAGAGTTAGAAAGAAGAGAAGCAGAGAGAGAGAGAGAGAGAGAGAAAGAGAGAGAGAATTGAACCCATACAAAGGAGTTAGAAAGAGAGAAGCAGAGAGAGAGAAAATTGAACCTATAAGGAGTTAGGAAGAGAGAAGCAGAGAGAGAGAGAGAATTGAACCCATACAAAAGAGAGTTAGAAAGAGAGAAGCAGAGAGAGAAAATTGAACCTATACAAAGGAGAGTTAGAAAGAGAAAAGCAGAGAGAGAGAGAGAGAATTTAACCCATACGAAGGAGAGAGTTAGAAAGAGAGAAGCAGAGAGAGAGAAAATTGAACCTATACGTAGGAGAGTTAGAAAGAGAGAAGCAGAGAGAGAGAGAGAAAGAGAGAGAGAGAATTGAACCCATACGAAGGAGTTAGAAAGAGAGAAGCAGAGAGAGAGAAAATTGAACCTATACAAAGGAGAGTTAGAAAGAGAGAAGCAGAGAGAGAGAGAAAGAGAGAGAAAGAGAGAGAGAGAATTGAACCCATACGAAGGAGAGAGTTAGAAAGAGTGAAGCAGAGAGAGAGAAAATTGAACCTATACAAAGGAGAGTTAGAAAGAGAGAAGCAGAGAGAGAGAATTGAACCCATACGAAGGAGAGTTAGAAAGAGAGAAGAGAGAGAGAATTGAACCCATACAAGGGAGAAATAGAAAGATAAAAGCGGAGAGAGAGAGAGAGTTAGAAATAGAGAAGCAGAGAGAGAGAATTGAACCCATAGTGAGAATTGAACCAATAAAGAGAGAAGCAGAGAGAGATAATTGAACCCATACAAAGGAGAGAAATAGAAAGAGAGAAGCAGAAAGTTAGAAATAGAGAAGCAGAGAGAAAGAGAGAGAGAGAGAATTGAACCCATAGGAAGGAGAGATAGAAAGAGAGAAGCAGAGAGAGAGAGAGTTGAACCCAGAGAGAATTTAACCCACATAAAGGAGAGAGTTAGAAAGAGAGAAGCAGAGAGAGAGAAAATTGAACCTATACAAAGGAAAGAGTTAGAAAGAGAGAGCAGAGAGAGAGAGAAAGAGAGAGAATTGAACCCATACGAAGGAGAGTTAGAAAGAGAGAAGCAGAGAGAGAGAATTGAACCCATACAAAGGAGAGAAATAGAAAGAAAGAAGCGGAAAGTTAGAAATAGAGACGCAGAGAGAAAGAGAGAGAGAGAATTGAACCCATACGAAGGAGAGTCAGAAATAGAAATGCAGAGAGAGAGAGAACTGAACCCACACAAAGGAGAAATAGAAATAGAGAAGCAGAGAGAAAAAGAGAGAGAGAGATAGAATTGAACCCATACGAAGGAGAGAGTTAGAAAGAGAGAAGCAGAGAGAGAGAATTGAACCCATACAAAGGAGAAATAGAAAGATAAAAGCGGAGAGAGAGAGAGAGAGAGAGAGAGAGAGAATTGAACCCATAGTGAGAATTGAACCAATAAAGGGAGAATTTGAGAGTTATTTGAACCCATACCCAGGGATGTGAGTATGTTTTCCCCCCCCAAAAAAAGAGGAAAACCATAGGGGGGGGGGGGTCTTTGAATTTTTTAAACATTTGATTGCATTTTAAGCAATTTCATGCAGTTTGGACAACATTCACACCAAGAGATGTAATAAGTCAATGGCAAAAGTCAATAAGTCAAATAAACAAAGGTGGCGGATGCAGTAAAATTTCGAAGTTAAATCAGTGCTTTTAAAAGGTCGGGCATAGCTTCCGTGCACCCGGCTACCCGCTGGGTCTGGGAAGCAATACTACCATAAACTTCACCCCCCATCCCCCAGACACAAGGACAACTGTCACAAGCGTGCAATGACCCTTTCCCCATGTTGTAGCAAATTGAAAAAACTAACCTTGTACTTACTTACCTTTTGTTGAAAAAAGCAAAACAACATTGCAAACATAAGATATTAATACAACATATATCCACATGTTATGGGTTTATATTTTAACGTGGAAGATGATATTTTCCGTGGACTGCTGTTTTAAAAAACGTGATTTTTCGCGTTTCTGTGGCGATTTCACATCCCTGCATACCTATGGGATGACAAGTGAAAGCTTTAACAAAGGGTTTGCACCACCATCCTGTCTGCATGTGTCTCACCTTGAGCTCATCTTTAGGGATGATGAGTCCACATCCCTGCTCACAGTGAACAGGCTTCTTCGGGTTGTGTTCACACTCCTGCACGTGACTCTGCAGCAGGTCGAGCTTGACCACCGCCATGCAGCCATAGCTGGCATTGTCGCACTTGATGTGCAGGCGCGACAGCAGGTTGCGCAGTATCCGGGGCACCTGCTTCAGCTGGTTGGATGTGATAGGACTTCGGTCAACAGGGCAGGTTGGCTGGCGGGTCAGCCATTCATGGATGCAGCCAGCACAGAATGCGTGTTCACATTGTGGTGCCTGGAACACATTCATATAGCAGTTTGGGACATACAGTCAAATATTTCTAACTTAATTCAGCATGTTAGTTAACACAGATGATGAAGCTTCATGGACTTGGCACAACAGTGTTACACCATGCATATTGAGGCCCTGATTGTCTTGTATAATTTAGGTAAGCAGTAAAACTTGTATAAGATTAAAGAGGCCCATAACTCGAGTGAATGAGTGAGTATGGTCAAACTATGCTTTGAACATCTTCATGAGGCAAAGGAGTTAACTGACTGTAAAAGTCCAGTTTCCACCCTTGCCAAAATAGGCTGGAATTTCTGGACTCAATCGTAGCGCCACCAGTGGTGACTATGAGTTACGTCAGATTCCACCTCTTATATCGCTTGCATTTGCTTAAAACAAAATGGCAGGGCCCAGTCAAGACTATCTGATAAATACTCAAAATCTGTATTGTAATAAAACGTGTCATACTTCACCAAGTGCATCAAATCAAGTGAGCACCTTGATAAGAAACAAGAAAAGATTAGGAAAATATCTGTGGATGGCAAGTTAGAACATGCTTTGCAAATCCTGCAATCGAGCAAAATCTGCACTGCATTTTACGAACCCAATGTCAATTTCGCTGTGATTGATTGGCTATGCACAGACTCGTTTGTACAGCCAAAATATATCTCCATAATTCCAGGCTAGTTCGGTGAGGGTGGAAACTGGATTTTCATAGTCAGTTAACTCCCTTGCCTTAAGAAGATGTTTTGTTAATTTTGTTACTACCAAGCTTTGTTGTAGGACTTTCAACATTATTAAAACAAATCTGTGAAAACTATAGGTTTCCCCCCGATCACATGTCACATGTGGAGACAGATTCCCAATATCAAAGTATTATTTGAAAATCAAATACGGGGGTTTAAAATCCCACATTAATAACAAGGTCAAAGGGTGTTTTTCTCACAAATTATCACTACCTTCGTCTTGATAATTAATGATGCACCATTAACCTCCTTACGCATAAACAACAAACATTTGTTAATGGACATCCTACAAAATGTTTAACTGTTCCTTCACATGTCACAGGTGGAGACATCATCTTAGTCAAACTGTTGCATGAATGAGTGAGTGAGTTGGGTTTAACGCCGCTTTTAACTGCATTCCAGTTATATCGCGGCGTGTCAGCCTAATGTGGGAGGAAAGCCCGAAGTGATGCAGGTCTCAGACGTTTACCACTTCAGTGAAACCCACAAGCATGGGTATGGTGCTGACAAACCTAGAAACATAATCGGGTTGAATAGGGATTCGAACCCACAATCATAGGTTTCTGGTGTGCCCAAGGGATCCAACTCTGCACAGCGAATCACCGCGCCTTAGACGACTTTGCCACCTGTGGCCCCTGCATGAATGATGTCAAACAGCAAGAAGAAAATAGTATATCACTCAGTGACAATAATTGCATTGGTATCCTTGCCCATACAGGTCAAACATAGTCAAGATCGAAACTTTTGTCTTCATACAGCATGGCATAGTAAACTAAGTACACCATGTACAACTGTGGCGCTACCTGTAGGGGTTCCTCCAACACTCCACTGCAGATGGGGCAGATCAGCTCCTCGTCTACATCACCCTCAAACCGCACCACCTCGTAACCCATCTCGCCTGCAACATACACCAACTGTCAACTTGTATCACGTAAAAATGAAAGGAAAAATTGACAATGAACTGCAAAATCAGTAAGCAAACCAATTAAATAAGAATACCTAAATAAGCTAAAATGATTACCCAAAATTTCAATTTCTTATAAACTGTGATATACAAGACACAAATAGAAACTGTGCGAATGATAAAATTAATAGACAGTATTATTGAAACCATGGCAACAGGTGGTTCTCACATCAAACATATCCCACATTGAACTGATAAGGATGCCAGTCATGATGTCATTCAGTGATAACAGACATCACATGTTGTAGCTACCCAAGAAGATCCCGGTTAGAAAAGGTCTTCAGCAACCCATGCTTGTCGCAAGAGGCAGCGTTAGAAATTGGCACTGTTCCTATAGTCCTTGACAAACTGCCCAATAGTTAAGGTATCATAAGGACTAGTAGAAATTTGCCTTTTTTAAGAGTTTTGCTATATGTTATCATTATAAGGACTAGTGGTCTAAAACTGTTAGACTCTTAACGCTGAAGAGGCCACTAATGGGATCAGGTGGTCAGGCTTGCCGACTTGGTTGATGCATGTTACATTATCCCAATTGTGTGGATTGATGCTGATGATATCAATCACTGGATTGTCTGGTCAAAACTCACTTATTTAGAGATTGTCGTCATATAGCAAGAATATTGATGTGGCGTTGAACATCAAACAAACAAAACAAACATTATACTCATGTTCAGTGAGTTATCTAGGTCTGTCTCCTGTTTATTATAATCACCATTCTAAATAATATAAAACCTGGATTCATTTTACACTAAAGCTTTGCTCTGAACCTGATGCAAATAACACAACACTAAACAGTCCCTGAATCAAATTACACTCCTACGCATGATGAGCAAGAGAGTTCAAGTTGACGGTGGTGACATCACGTCAGATAGAAAGCTTGGATAGAGTCCTGGGTATATGTCATAATCAGATTCAAGATTATTGCACTTGTCTAGTATTATTTATAAATTTTATATATGCATACTCTCTGGGCAGATGCTCTACAACTAGACCACAAAGGTGGTCTCATTTCCTCCAGAAGCAGAAACCCTGGAGCACTCCATCCAAAGGACACCATCCATGAGACACTCACAGCCAACTTTCCCAATGTGTTCACCATGCTTGGAGAAAGAAACTCGCAGACTCATATGTTTCTGAATGTCGTGCGGGTAGTATGATCATCCTTTCCTTTTCTTAATATTTTTACACAAGATGTTGTTTCAAATTATTCCAACTGTAAAACCCAATGCTGAATTTGTGTGTTTACATTTGCCTTATGTGTTTCAGAAAATATGATCAGGCCTTAAGTAAATGAGTATGGTTTTACATCACTTTTAGCAATATTCCAGCAATATCACGGTGGGGGAATCCAGAAATGGGCTCCACATATTGGACCCATGTCAGGAATTGAACCCGGGTCTTCGGCATGACGAGCGAACGCTTTAACCACTAGGCTACCCGACCGCCCCTATCAGCCCTTAAAAGTTTGACTTTTATCATATTTGCATATAATGATATATGACATGGTGTTGCACACTCTGTAACGATTTGAATGAAACCAATGACGATGATAAGCAGCAGCTCTCGATTCAATAAATTGAGATGTAAAAACCATTCTAGTCTACTCTGAAATAACATTGGCCAACCCCAGCCCACCCCCAGTATGCAGGATGCCGACCCTGTTCGGTGGTATTCTGGACGCTGCAGTGCAGTAAGCTGTATGCCATGAAAAGTTTATCTAGTACTCAGATGGCAATATCTCAATGTTGAAATTTATTTTTCGTCTTAGTTTTGCTTACAAAGAATGACAAATCAATAAACTACTTAGCCCTAAAGTTTATGAACTCTCATAGTCATACATACAATGTGAAAGTCTCAAACTAATTTATTTGTACCAGCTATGTACACTGATTACTCGAGAGTACTTAAATTGAATGCGAAGATAAATTAAGTTGCATGCCGGGTGGCTAGAGGGAGGGGTTTGGCACCTTCAGACCTGTGTCTGTTGTAAAACCACTCGGTGTTTGTGTCGGGACGACCGATAGTTGAAATCTTTGAACAAGTTGACCGGAGCTTGTTGAATAAGTGTACCCTCTAGACTGAGAACTGTCATATTTATCATTTGAAATAACTGTTCTGGCTCATTCAAATACACAATCACAACACCCGCTAATAGAAAAATAGTTTTAAAGATACCGTGATTGGTGTTAAAAAAAATGCCTCCCAAGTGTCAACATGGTAAACAAAGGCACCTTTTCTGTTGAACAAAAAACATAAACATTGAATAAAGACTACAGTCATATCTGTACGTCATCGATATGTTACCATCAAAGAAAGCTTCCAATCCCGTTCCAACTACAATTGTTGCGAATACTTTCCGTCTTTGGCGACCTGTGGCTCTCCAGACGGAAACTGTCTCACTTCCTTGAAAGTGCGCAGACTCACAGACAAGGGCGAATAACCCTATTCTTGGGAATTATCTCCCCTTTGACCATTTGAAAACAAAGCTGATGCCTATTCATGTCCCAATCTCATCAAAATCAGATCTTAGTTCTCGCTACCGCTAAACAAAGCTTTGTTTAGCGGTAGCGAGAACTAAGATCTGATTTTAATGAGATTGATTCATGTCCATAATAAGGTCGGACATCGCTGTACGAAGCAAGCAATAAAAATCGTTCTAGTCGTTCTACCTATTATTGTTTTATAAAGAACATTACTTCAATCACCCCAAACTTTCAAAATCTCTCTCCGCTAGAATATATAGCGAGTGTGTGTGTGTGTGTGTGTGTGTGTGTGTGTGTGTGTGTGTGTGGTACTGGTGGGTTCAGGCTGTAAAGGCACCGATTTTCTCAGGTGAAAACGGCACCTCATATTTGTAAGAACGATGTATATAGTCCTACATACGCTTTATTCATTGGTGATGTTCATTTATTCTTTATCCTGTTTTATTTATCATTGTAATATATCACCACAAGTATCATTGTCATCGGACAATGTTTCATAGATTTCACATTCCACGGAATTTTATGACACTGATCCATGAACCAAAGAAAATATAAAAGATTTATATTAAAATTATGTACTGCGATGAACACCAATGATGTTCGTGGAGGAGGAGTAGCGGTGATAGTCGTACTGACGTCATTTGATTCTGATGTCATGGTAAGCAAGACGTCACATTGTTTGTAAAGCATTGTGATGCAATTTCATTGTAGCAATATGTCCTAGGATATCTCCAGTGAAAGCCAGTTTTTGGTGATAAATAGAGAATCTCACCCAAGTGTCTGTTGATATCAAATATATCAACACAATTTGATAAAAGTGAAAAACTCCGAGGCTTCCCGAGCGTCACCCAAGTGATATCTCCTGTGGTAGCCAGTTTTGGGTGATAAATCGCAGTCAATATGTATTTTGAACAACCCCGCAATATGACATTACAGTTGTTTGCAAACATACGTTGTTGTGACGTCGTTATTGTCTACTTTGACAAACAATCAAACGATGGAATAAGTGGCGGGAACTAGCCAGTCAAAATTGTAACAGCACTTGTATACTTGAAGTGGCAAATAGTGTTACAATAAACAAGGAGGATAAACTTACGGAAGCTGATGAGTAATATTTTACCACACTTCACACACCAAGGACACATTGAATGTAGGCTGTGCCTACCGAATCTTGTGGTAAAAAGGTATCTGCAGTTCGAGTGGTTAATATAAACCATCTTATAACGTCTGGCATGGGGCGGTCGATCCTTCGCTCTCCGGGCAGACGCTCTATCCACTACATCACGGAGGTGATCTCCAATAGCCCAAAACACTATTGCGATGTGACTGTAATTGCGGTACAACCACTGCAGGTATTGAGATAGTGTGTATCTTTACCTTCATTACATACCCTCGATTATCTCGTGTAGTATATTTCTAGTGCATGCACAGGCATATGTGGTACTGACAAACCACGAATCATAACCAGGGCGCATCTCGGATCCTTGCTGATCTAAGGGACGCTAATCTGCACAGCGAAATGTCATGGCTTAGACGACGATATCTGTGTAATTTGAAGTAATGGTTTGTTTGTTTTGTTTAACGCCGCACGGGGCAATGTTCTGCTAAGTGATGACCGCCTGTAAATATTCGAGTCCGGTACAGACACATCAGTGACTGTAATGAGCGATCACAATCCAACGCTGTGGAGGTGTGGATGTCCCGGGCCGGAATCACCAATGTCAGCCAGCCTAACCTCCCGATACCCCGCTCCATTCAGTCGCCTCTTACAACACCTACACGTAACACAAATAACAGTCAAATATGGTTTCATCTTACGCCACGGACTTGGTCAAACTCCGATATTCATTTTAGCAATATTTGAGCTCGAAAACTCGCATGTGAAAGAAATACAAGTTTAGTTGTCGGCCATGTCAAAACATTTTCACACCAATGTTTCAAAGTTTTCCTTTTATTTAAATTTTACAGTTCCAACGGGTAAAAAAACCAGTCCTCATACTCCATCCTTTTTATAGATCAGAGGGGTACACAATGTACGTGATCTATACCTACCAACACGCATCTAAAACCAAAGTCTTATTATTTAACCGGTGATCCATTTGGTTAGCCATCTATCAAATTCAACAACTTTGAAGGAATATGTGTTTTAACAATTGAAATGAAAAATAATGACATAACCGCCCACCCCCATCCTCGACAATACAGCCACACACACTGCACTATTTAGTAAATGCAGGCATCACAATATCAGGCATGGGGGTTTTACAATTCTCGAACCTTAGCTAGATACAGAACAAGTGTACACTGACGTTTCAGTTGGCTTAAAAAATAATTTACTTGACAAATATACATGATCATAAAACCGTTTGATTACTATCCAACCAGCCAGACGGGTGTTTCATTGTCAGCACAAATTGTTAATTGAGTGAGAGAGTTGGGGTTTCAGTTGTAACATCGTCTGTCACTTAATAATGGGCGTTACCCAAAGTGATTAATACAGATGTTTACCACTTTGGTGAAACCCATGAGGACAAATCGAACCGCTACTAATGAAGTTATTTAGTGCGTTGCCAGTGTCCCTCGTGGAATTAACAGGTATCGTCAATATCCAAGAAACGTACTCCCCTGCCCAACCATACCTGCTCTTTACAAGGGCAGTGAATTTCCTCTCCTAAGAAAAGTTCTACTTATAATACATGAGAGTTTTCGCAATATTAGACTTCAAAATATATTACCTCACGCAATATGAACAGTTTAAGGAGTTACACTACACAACCAGATTCTCGAAAAGCGTTCTGCGACAAAACTTGTTCCGTTGTGAAAAGAGTTTGACATGTGGAGTGGAAAGGGTTCAATGGGTTGTTAAGGGTTGTGGTCTTTCAGCCCTAATAATTTCATAACCGTTAAATATTGAAACTTCATATTTCGAAAAAGTATTCTTTCATGAATTATTTTAAATTCTTAATATATTTGAATGCTAAAGTATTGTACGAACTGGCGAATAATGCAATCCATTCAAATGCTTTGTTTCTCAGGCATATTTTTCTTACACCTTTTCTGACAGCTATCAGTTGTTTAGCGAGTAAAGGGTTGATATTTCGCGACAGAGCTCTTTGGTGTTTTTGCTTTAACACTTTTTCAGCATTGAAAAGGTTTGGGCATAAATGTTTAGAGTTCGAGAAATATTGGAAACTGCTATACACTGAAACGATGTTTGCAAACTTACCTCTCGCAGAGGAAAACGTTCGCTTCCCTCGTGGAAAGATTGCATCCCGTACGCGATCACAGGGGTGCGTTGGCCAGGTAGGTTAGATCGCTGGCTATATGTGCTGGCGATTAAGTGCCTCACCCTGGGAGTGTGGGTTCGAATCCCGTATAGGACTCAACCTGAAAAACGTACTAGCATGTATACTTTACTAAGAAAATACGACCCCACATATACCATTTGTTACATTTAACCACTTTCTAAAAGGCATTGTGTATTCATTTCTTTATAGATGATTTCAAATTCATTAATTTTCAAGCAACTGTTTATGTTGTCTGCAAGCGTTGACCGTATATTGCTTGTCATAAAAGGCGACTGTGCTTGTCGTATGATTGTCTGGTCCAGACTCGATTATTTACAGACCACCGTCATTTAGCTGGAATATTGCTGAGTGCGGCGTTAAACAACAAACAAAATCATTCCTGTTGGAGGTGTACAGCTTTATTGTCAACGTTGAGTGGTTTGTTGTGTACACTGTCATAGAAAATCAGTTTGAACATTCATATAGTCGTTAACAAACTTGATTGATTATCAGTTGTGTTTAAAATTATCTGATCTCAGTTACTGTTACATTTGAATATATTTAAAATACGTTGGACATAAATTACATAACACGCAGGATAGGGGACAATGATTACTCGTTTAAGATTTTATAAAAGAAATCATCTCTGAGATTATCCTATTGATTGTCAATCAATTCACCCGTGAAGATCCGGGGTAGAATATAGGTCTTCAGCAACCCATGCATGCTGTAAATGGCGACTATGCTTGTCGTAAGAGGCGACTAACGGGATCGTGTGGTCAGGTTCGCTTACTTGGTTGATGCATGTCATCGTATTCCAAATGCGTGGTTCGATTCTCATGATGTCAATCACAGGCTTGTCTGTTCCAGACTCGATTGTTTACAGACCGCCGTCATATAGCTGGAATATTGCTGAGTCCGGCGTAAAACAACAAACCAACAATCAAACTGAATCAGTGTATTACTCGCCCGCCTTAGAGATTACTGGCCAGAGGATGTTGACATGACAGCTGTGTGGTACACTGTGTGTCGCCCACACGTATATAGTGTAGTCATAGGTAGAGCGACAGTGAACCCCGCAAAACACACATGCAACCATAAGATTAAAAAACACATGACTGAACTCACAGGAGAATGAGTTTTGTATCTCCAATACAGTGCTTCAATCTGTAGCCCTTGCGCAAATTATGTTTATCTTCTTAAGGAAAATGAACGAGGGGTTTTGTAACTGGCAAAGCTGAAAATGTATAAAAGAATTTGAAATAAACGTCATTTTCCCTTTGTCGAACAAATCTGCAAAAACACTGTATTGGATCAAATGAATGCTGAATATGAATGTTTTTTGTTTTTTATTTAATACCGCACACAGCAAATGTGTATTCCAGCCATGTTTTTGACGACAGCCTGTACACTGGACCAGATACGCCAGTGACTGGTCATCTAGTCTCCTGTTTATTTAGACTCATTTAACCCGAACCTCCAAATGAGAGACTTTCTTTAGGATTTGTGATTTGGTGCAAGCACTGGAATCTGATTAGGATGTGAATGTAACGAATGTAACGAGTGTAACGGATGTACCAATTTATACGAAAACTATCAAACCTCTCTGTCTCCCTCCCACTTTTCCTAAGCACTTGAAGAAAGGTGTTTCATTGTAATATGAAAATCGTACATTTAGAAAGATAATCACGTGATGTCCTTCTTGTCATACTTTTATGCGCCAATCTCAGAAGCGATCATAAAATCTTCACAGGTTGTGGTATCTTGTTTTTCGGTGCTGTGCCACTTCGCGCTTAATATCGTTTCGACTCGTGCCCTTCCGGGGCAGTTCTGGTAGTTCACGGATGAGAAAGAGTGTAGAAGTAGAATTTGTAACATCAGGAAATATCTGACTTCAGCTTAATGGTATGACTGTATATAATTTGCTTACAGAATATGATAAGGGAATAAAATCAATGATAAAGGACACATATATAAAATACGGAAAAAATGGGACAGTACCCAAAAGTCAATGTGTTTGCGTTAATGGTGAAATTGAATGAAATGTTTGATGGTACTCATTAAATAAATAATTTATTGGCTACAGCTGGGGGAAAATAGATTGTTCTCAAAAGCACCTTCACTCCCAAAATAAAGCGCAGTGGGGGCGCCATGACCCAAATTTGTCTGTTATAGTAGTTTGTGAACAAAAACGTCAAAGCATATGCAGAAAATGTTATAACCCCAAAACTCCCCAAACATTTAAACATTGGCCACATCAACAACATTTAGGGAATAACTTGCTTAAATTAGTATTGAGTTAGTTCAACTGATTTTTATTATTTTGGATAAGGATATAACTATTTTTATCTGATTTAAAAAAAAAGTAGAACTAGGGATATTTAATAATTTATATGTGTAAATGGTACACACGTGTATACATATACGCCATAGCAAGGAGAATTAGAATCATTAGTCGAAAACATCAACATTGATTAGATTTCGAAGTAAAATACATCAAAAGAATGAAAAGTTACATTATCATCTTCATTCATAAGATTTTGTAAATGTAGAAATTATTCCAATCAGCTGTTAAAGTGTCATAACCAAATGCGCATCTCATGTAAACACGGCGGAACTAGGTCACGACGACCCGGCGCAGTGATTCTCGGTTTTAGGTCAAATTATTACGTAACAATCAAGCCCAAACGTTTACTCATTCGGGGATTTTATCATATTATATTTTACAATTCCGAATAAAACTAGTTCCGTATGTGATATAACATAGACGTGGATCATTTCTTAAGTATCGGATAACACATTTTCTGTATTGATATTGAGAACTATTTTTCTCTGGGTCAGCGGACGTGTAACGTAGATGGGGAGAGAATGGCCACTGGTTGCCGTCTGAAAAAGTACGATTGTCAGTTTACTGCGGGTAGGAGAGTTTTTCTTGTCAAAACCATCTGAACAGCTTCGGAGGTAGGTGGTATTTACTAGTTCGCGAGTATTAATGTGGCATGTCTCAGATATGGGCTCGCTTATTTTGCAAAACAGCCTAAATGTTCCCACGGGTGGAGCGAGTCGGAGGCGAAATCATCCGAAAAAGTCCCACATCCATATAGGCCTGCAGTCGTGGGTCCGATCATACAGTCTATATTTAGATATATATTTCCCAAACATGCACATTACTGATACTGTAGTCCCCAGTGTGGTTTAATACAATTCAAACATGTTTAATGCAAGTATTTTAAAGGCTGTAATAAATGTTTATAATTAATTTTACTCGCTATTTTATATTTTTAAAGAATTTGATCTACATTAATGGAAATGCTCATCGCATGTTGTTTTCGCGCACTTGTCACGTGTGTACGTTTATATATATATATATATATATTCACACAGATATCTATACGTGTATTGCATTTCTTGATAGTTAAATTCCTAACCTTTAAAATGTTAATGAACATTTTAGTGAAAACATGAAAATACCTACAGCAGCCTTTAGATAAGATTTCTTTTAGTTTAGAAGAAATAATCTATCTACAGTACAGTACTTAATAATTTTTTTATCTACATTTCTAAGAAGTTGATGAATGACAAAGTTGACACGATGTATGGATAACAATTTCTTTATTTTACTGTAATGCCTGACAACGATAAAGTGATCTATACCGAAACATCCCCATTACAGTAAAATAAAGAGCTAGGTTGTTCTAAATAAATTGTGTCTTCTTAGACATGTTAGAAAATAGATCAAAAAAATATTTTAATTTGGACAAATTGCATATTGTTATTAGACTATATCAGTTATTGTTGTCTGCTTGACATATAAGTATTATTAAATATGCTACATAAAATCAAATGAGTTTGAAGATATGGACATTGTTTTACTGTGTTTTTTGTGATATAGAATTAGTCCTTAATTTGAAACAGCTAATCATGCTAATAGGTAGATTATGGTTTTATTTGAAATGCCATTCAACTTAGATTGGTATGTTTATGTCTCACAAATAACAACCTGCATAACGATTATCATCAATATCAATAAATATGATAAAATTTAGATGATTTTGTCTCATAAACTTCATGAGTTTTCTTCACAGTCCACAATGACATATGTCATCATCTCTCTCATAGACTCCTTTATCTTCATGAATTATGCCACTGACATTCTTACGAAGTTGTGTCATCTGTTGATATCAAGATGGAAGGAACTGTTTTCTCTTTAATTTTGATTTTATTCCATGTGTTTACGTGTTGTGTTGGTGGATCTGTAAACAGCATAGTAATAGTAGAACATTTAAATAGTCAGAGAAAAATGGTTTTGACTGGAGAAATTGTTTGATCTTACTGTAGTTTGCACCATTGACTGATACAGAATGACAATCTTGATTGATGAATTGTAGTTAAAAGTATAAATGAGTGGCCATTAATTTCATAGTGGCCATTAATTTCATAGTTTTGTATGAATGTCATTGGTATGGGAAAAATAATCTTTCCAAATGGATGAGCCAGCCTTTCCTTTCCCAACTTAGAAAAATATAATTTAGATAATCTTTCCAAATGGATGAGCCAGCCTTTCCTTTCCCAACTTAGAAAAATATAATTTAGATTGTTTTTTTTTGGAAGTTACTTTATAACTATCACAAACCTCTATGCCTGTTACTGTTAGTATCTTTGAATTCAGTATTTTCAACAATAAAACCAAGTAGATTTACAATCAGCAGGTATTAATGCCATATTGTTCATAATGTATTTTATATAATTTAAATTTTCAGTTATTTGTTTGGTCAGTTGGTAAACACATTCTTGTCATTCATCCATACATTACAGTTTAATTAAGATTTCTTAGGCTTTGTGTTGAATTCTGTTGGGTCATTTCAATATATGCACATGTCAATGACTGCAAGACTGGCATATCTACTTAATAATCTTATTGAATGATTACATAAGTGTAGATAGTCTATGATGTAACATTTCCTTTACAAATCCAGATAGGTAGGTAATATTTCATAATTAGGGCTATAGTTGAAGGGTTACATGTCTTGATTGAATAATGAACACTGGTGGCTTTACAAGGATCATTTATGTCATTTCACAATCAAGGTACAGTAGTTATTTCTTGTCTGAGCTGTTGACATGGTTGACAACCTCATTGTTATTGAACACACACACACACAAACACACACACACATATAGTAATTAAAAAAATCAGTCACTGGTAAAATACTTGGTTACCATGGTTACTGGAAATGCAAGTATTTTGTTTTCCAAGGTCTCAGTTTGGGATGCAGGGGTCATTTTTATGATCCCCTGAAGTCTAAAAGATTATGTCATTTACTGACCAAAGGAAGACAAATAACTGAATATTTAGCATGTTTAGGAGAGAGAAAGAGTTAAAATAATACTTGATATAAACTCTTGATTATATGAATGAGTAGAACATGCGATTCTTAAACCAGATAAATATGAAAGTTGTCTGATAGAATGTTTGGCTGCTGAAGTTGGTTCTAAATTAACAAACATGGCTACAATGTATGAGTGAGTGTTGGAAGGAAATTGACGAAATTGACACAAGAAATAGTGTGATGTTTCCTGACGTCTTTCATGCATTGTGCCAATCTGTTTGACCGAGTTTGCTGGATAATTATGAAAAGATGGATCATCTGGATAATTGAATAATATGGAGCTCCTCACATGGAACAAAGAGTTTGTTCTACCAGTGTTCCTGCTGGCTTTCGAAACTGCCAGTTGCTGTAGACTACAAATTTCCAGTGACATCTCCTCTCCCCCATTTTTGTCAGTCCCACCTTTGAACAAATGAAAAAAAATGTAAAACAGTTACCCGATTTTGATTCTTTCAACAACATGTTCAATGCAGTATACATTGGTGACATCTCTGAAGTAATTTTGTTAGATCCCCAAATCAGTCACACAAAGTTCCATCACAATTTTCTTTTTGGGGAATGACCGCCTCCGTGGTCTAGTTGTAGAGCGTCCGCCCAGAGAGCGGAAGGTCCGGGGTTCAATCGCCGGCCGCGTCATACCAAAAGACGTTTAAAGATGGTACTTGTTGTTACCCTGTCTGGCGCTCGGCATTAAAGGGCTAAAACAAGGACTGGTTGGCTCGGAGTCAGTATACTGTGTCTGAGTGAGTATTCATGTTAAACTGCGGCATGGTATCTCAGTGTGCTGGCACTATAAATCGGCATCAGTCCGGACTAGTACAAGCAGCCACACACTCACGTGCATGCACATCGCTATATAAGTGCAATAATCTTGGACGCGACGTTAAACCCCATTTCAACTAACCTCACCTTTTTGGGGAATATTTCAATTTGGTTTGAGACTACAAATAGATATGTTTGTTTATTTGTTGTTTAACGCCGCACTCAGCAATATTCCAGTTAATGAAGGCGGTCTGTAAATAATTGAATCTGGACCGGACAGTCCAGTGATTGACATCATGAACATCGATGACATGCATCAACCAAGTCACCGAGCCTGACCACTGGATCCCGTTTGTCGCCTTTTACGACAAGATAGTCGCCTTTTTGGCAAGCATGGGTTGCTGAAGACCTATTCTACCCTGGATCTTCACGGGTCACAAATAGATATGTAACCTTGAAGCAAAGTGAAATGTTATTTCCTTGCACTGAACATAGACAGCGGGGAACCATGATGATAAAAGACAAACTGACTTCATTCGAAAAATAACCGGTATTGATTATGGCCGATGTTTTGTTCAAAACAAAGATTTATAAGGTACTTCATTTGCCGTCCACTGAGACTGACATTCACATGAATTACCGATCCAAGCCTAGTTTTGCTAATGACGTCACTCTGAGTGACTTTCTTCATCAATATCAAAAGAAAACAGACTTCAGTCAAATGTTATGTTGTCATAATAGTACAGGAAATAATAATGTTAGAAGCAAGTGATTGTTGATGATGATGACAGCTGGCGATTAAAATATCCAAACATAGCGAATGAAATTGGCACTTGTCCTATAGTCCTTACCAATCTGCCCAATAGTTAAAAAAAATCCTGGTATCATAAGGACTTGTAGAAACATGCTCTTTTTAGGGGTTTTGCTGTATGAATATCATCATTATAAGGACTAGTGGACTGAAACTGTCAGTTTCTATCACTGTGTTAAGGGTATATCTCCTATCTCTGTCAAACCAAAAGAAATGAATCCCAACTTATTTGAAGCAGATTACTCACAGAAAACTACAAATGTAAGACTCATAGTAAATTTGGTTGATGACACCAGGTGTTAGAGAAACAGATGAACATGTTGTGCCCTACTGGAAGCATCCCTCATACGTCAAGGTCGCTATGTATCATAAATAGTTGGCCGAAGATAAAAATGCCTTGCATTCTACAATCAAATACAGCTATTGTCACTACTGCTGTCTTTAATCTGGGTTGTTTTGAGGAAAGAAACTTTAAGCAATAGATTGGGTTCTGGAAATGTTAATTGGTTCCTAAGGTAAAGTTGATAGGCTCCAAGGGAATAAACTAGTTGGAACAGATACAAATGAGCTGAACGTCACAAACAGAGATCAAGGTTACTGTCTTACTGTTGGACATGTTGGACACAATGCTATCATCACCATCTGAAACTTCAGTTTTCAAAATGGGTCACTTCATGCATTACTTCAACAAAAAGCTGAGTTGCTTGTAAGGTGTTGATCAGATGTTGGTTTGTTGTGTCCTGCCAAAATGTTACAAGGCATTGCAAGCATTTGCTGTAACACAGTGTATTTCTCTTGTGGTAGCCAATAGTAAGTAAAGAGCAGTTACAAGTTATTTATGTGTAGGGCTAATCTTTTAGTCCACTTTTCCGGCAAGGTTCTAATTTAAAATTATGCTTGAGAAATGTTGAGACATTCAAACTCTAGATTGAAAATACTTTGTGTAAGTGATTTGTAAATTCTCAGTGTTGTGTCTTATTAAAGTAAAGTAATTCATA